AGTTCACATAATAAAGGTTCACTACCCATTTAAGACAGTTGTTACTCTCAGTTGTAATAAAGGAATTGAAAACACTATGATTTGAGTTCTTTCCTTTTAAAGTGGCGAAAATCCAAACATTGAATGACAACATTTTACTGTTAAGAGTGAGTGAGTGAGTGAAATGGTACAGCCTCCATGGAAGGTAATCTGGAGATACTCCAAAATTATCTGTGTTTATGTCTTGACACAGTAGTTTCACCTGTAGTGTTGTTCTGACTGGTTAAGTAAGGTATAATTTTTTAGGTTATATTTAATGGGAATGTGTGGGGTGGGAAATAGGATAGTTGAACAAGGTGGGAACCTAGAGTTCTTTTTGCATAATTTTTTATATTGTTTCACTTTTGAGTCATATAACACATTAGTGTTATACAACTTAAACTTTTGAAAAGTTGACAGAAGAAAAAATTGAAAATTTATGTGAAAGACTTTTATAAACTGAGAAATATTGTATTAAGCCCCAGTTATTTATTTGAATTTCAGTCGTGAGACCGAATCTGGAACATGGATTATATGTGTCCAGGTTAAAGATTTTAATCCCCCGTGCCTGCTTTTCTCCCCCTTCTGAATAATTGAGTCTTAGAACCAGTAGATAAGGCTGAATACTAATGTCAGTTGGTGGAGCTTGGTGGACCTGAGCAGAGTATCAAGAGCCCAGGTAGGTTGTGGAGGGCATCTGTGTAAGATTTGGGCTAACGCAGGTTATCAGGGCCCAAGCGGGATGAGGACATCCACCCTGGGGACCATCATGCAGGCAAGGGAGAGGGGAAAGGAGATACTGGTTTCATATAAGGGAGTTGATAAAATAAATATATGTTGAGGACAACGAGAGGCATGTTTTTCTCACTGTTAGAGAAGGGAGTTATAAATAAGGGGAGAAAACTAGAAGAACCCTGTGGATTGGAACAGGAGATATTGGTATGCACTTGTATTTTTATATATACACGCAACACAATAAATGTAGATGCAAGCTTATGCGTGTGTGTATGTGGACACATATGCTCTCTAGCTCTGCCCACTAAGAAGGGTGTGGGGATGAGATCCCAGTGTAACAGGCATACCTAGCATCTAGAGCTTGTCTGAAAGTCCGTCAATTCTTTGCTGAAAGGAATGGGGGTTCCTTGGAGAACTTGACTGGTCCTTGGGCTGGGACAAAGAAAGAAAAGATAAGCCTGGAACTTCCTGTGTTAAAAGTTTAAAGAATGATGGAGTGGGTCAAAAGGACATAGAAACCAGCTTGGAGGGGCTCTCACTTGAGGAGGTAAAGTCAGGAAAACTTCAGCATAAAAACAAATAATGGTAGATTATAACTTACTAATTAAAATAGGAATCTGGAAGTGATTTAATTAATAAATTGAAAGTTTGATGAGAAACAGCATATTTGGAGTATATAAACCATGTGTAGTTTTATAATCCCCATGACCAAAATATTAATTCCAAAGGAAAAAATATCTTACAGTAAAGATGTTTGGTAGGCATAATCATACGATCATCAAAATCAAGACTGTCATCACTGTCAAACAAATCAGAATCATATGCTTCATGCCAAGATTCAATGAGAAGAACACTGTTACTCATGTGGTATTACATTCTAGGACGTATTGCCTGAATCTTACAAGGAGTCATCTAAAAAATTCAGTCTGCAAAATAACTGCATTATAATCTATCCTCAAGAGTGTCAAGGTTATGAAAGGTAAAGAGAGACTGAGAAACTTTTTCACCCCGAAGAAGGCTAAAACGATATGACAGGTTAATGCAGGATTATAAACATAGCGAAAGAATGAAAATTATAATCCATTTATAAAAAAGCCTTTTTCTTAAGAAAGTGATGTTTATAATTTATGCTTAAGTAGGGTATTGTTAGTTACTGTGGATTAAAAATATATCATTTCCTTTAATAATAAAGTAAGATGAGAAAACCAAACACTTCTTGCCCTATAGTTATGCTCATGGAAGGCTTATGTCTACCTGAAGGTTGGTGACTGTCCCCTGTCCCCTCACTAGACCATCTTTCACTAGAGGTGTTTGGTTTCCAGAAAAGTCATTACTTCAAAATAGTAGAGAGAAAAGACATTAGCTGTGAAGTTGGTAGGAGAAGGGCGAATGTATGTGTGTGTACATGCACGCATGTGCTTGTATGTGTGCCTCTGTGCATGCTGTTTATGCTTCAGTCCCAGAGTGATGTATGTTGGTTCCTTTTCTCCCTCTATCACATTACTTCTTGTTTCAGAGATTGGACCTACGTAGGTCCCTCAGGTTGGAATGTCTTTCTAGCCCTCCCCATCCTTCTCTTTCACCTTAACTCCTATGCCTTTTTTTTTTTATAGTCAGCAGCATAAACAATCAAGGGGAATTTCCTTGAACTCTTTTGACTAAGTTAAATCCTCTCTTGGAAAATTGATTTAAACATTGTTCTTTGACCTCTTATTTGTAAAATGGGCATAATAATAGAACCAACTTTGTAGAATTGTGAGAAATAAAAGAGTAAAATCTATGTAAAACAATAAATAGTACCTGACCAGACTGAGTTGACATCATCATCATTACTTTTTAAAAACATACTTGAAATACATATCTCATTTATATATTTCTCTAATTGTTAAATATCTCTTTTCCCAGTTAGGTTGTTAGTTCCTATTCAGACTGTGTCTTTTTTATTCACCTTTTTCCCTAGTGCTTGCTTGGTACACATGGTACTCACATGCTTTTGTTAACAGATAAATGGGTTGTTTGCAGTAGTGGATCTTTCAGACCAACTGGATTTTGATTCTACGTATATTATAGACTTACTAGATCTTGTAACTTTGGTGCAGTGACTTAACTTTCTGGACTTCAGGTTTCTCATCAGTAAAATTGGGTTGTAATATCTACCGCACTGAGTATTTATTTTTTTATAGAAAATATATTTAAAGCCCTAGCATTTTGTTGGTGATCAATAAGTTGTGAAGTTACTAAGATGTTGCCAACAATATCAGTACTGAAAATACCAATATTTTTAGTGAGTGTTTAAATGAAATATTATAAATGAAATATATCTAGTGAAGTTCCTGACCCTGGGAGTAGGGATTCAATTACATTAGCCCCTGCTTTAACTTTTTTCTAATAATGTTTATAACTACGTATCAGTAAGTATATGCTGGTTCTAGAGACTGCATAGGGCACTTTACTATTTATTTGTTTGTTTACTTATTTGTATATAATGAGACACACACACAAATGCATCCATACTTCTTGAAGTGTTATAAATAACCTACCCATTAGGTAGAGTTTTTCTCCCCATTAAACAGATAAGGCTTAGAGAGGTCAGGTAACTCCCCCAATGAGCCAGGATTTAAATTCAGTCTATTTCATTTTAAAGCCTTTGTTTTTATTTTACCGCACTCTTCTCTTTACACTTTTGGTTAGAGGTGATTTGGAGTTACCAGATGTTCTCTTTTACAATGCCTTTGGTCTTCCGAAAATCGTGATGTCAGTCAGATTACTTCTTCTGAAATCTTTCTGAGGTTTGTTTCATGGAAGAGTGATAAAGCACTGGAATGCTTTCAGGAGGATTATCACAGACCTTAGTGGACTGCAGCTTTGGTAGTTGTGACCAGTGAAAGCTCAGTCTGTTGAGGAGGGAGAGGGGAGCAAGAGGAATAAAGAAAAACAAATAGAAACGTGTTCTTCTATACTAGGCTCCACAACCTCCTCATTCTAAGGTTAGCTCTTATTAAAAATGTAACTATTTAATACATGTTCATTTCAAAAGATTAAATTTATTATGTGTGCACATACAAGGCCTGTCCAGAAGGTATCCAGTCATGCACTATGAAAAACAGATATTTATTGAAGAAGTTACAAGATATAAGAGTCATTGTGCATAGGACAGTGACATACCTGTCCCTCTCAAAGTTAGCACCTTGGGACCACACGTACTTGTCCCAGTCACCATCAGCTGTCCCATCGTATTTTCCTGAATCTCATCAATGGTCTGAAATCTCTTCCCTTTCAAAGATGATCTTAGTTTTGGGAAAAGCCAGAAGTCACAGGCTGCCAAATCTGGACTGTAGGGAAGCTAAGGCACCTGGATGATTTGATGTTTCACCAAAAAACTCTGCACTACATGTGATGCATGAGCAGGCGCGTTGTGGTGATAAAGCTGCCATTCACCAGTTGCCTATAGCTGCAGCCTTCTGAATCAGTTGTTCAACTCACTCATTCATTTTGAATGCAATGGCCACACAGTATGCATGCTCGCTCAATGGTGTCTACTGCCCCCACTGACTAGTATAGTGAAGTCATCATTGTTCATGCATGTACATTCCAGTCTGCTTTCCTTGACTGCCAGGTTACCTTGATGTTGTGCAAACCATTCTCATAATATTAACAATGGTTGGACTTTTTCTAGACAGACCTTGTACAGTAAAAATATAAAGCTCTCATTTGCATTTCTGCATCTCTCCCCAGAAATTGTTGTCCATAAAATGTTGCTTATGTTCACTTGTAATGGGGGTATTATATTTAAATGAATTAGTAAGTATTTTTAAATTTCTCTTTTAATTTCTAATATGGGAAAACATTGGTTGATACAGTTCACATAAACAAAAGGTCTTTGTGGTTCTCAATAATTTTTAAGGGCATACAGGGGTTTTGAGACCAAATAATTTGAAAGTGCTACAGTGTATTTGTAAAATTGCTAGTAATGAACATCCATAGTAATATAGAAAAATCCCCATGACTTAATAATGTTGGCAAAAAAAAGTACAATACAGTCTTTACAAGTGTTATAGTTATATGAGATGAACAACAGAAAACAGTATTGAAGAGTATATGGTAAAATGCAAATAGTCATTATCTTAAGGTTATAGTATTTTGAATGATTTCATTCTTGATTTTCCAAAGGTTTTTATGCTATAATTAAATTTGTATATTGTGAAAAATCAGTTAAAATATGAATGGGGATAATGTTTCTGTTTCAGAAACTGTGTAGTGATGCTCAAGTTAAAGTCTTTGGGAAATGCTGCCAGCTGAAACCTGGAGGAGACAGTTCTTCTTCTTTAGATAGTTCTATTACTTCATCTTCTGATGTAAAAGAACAGTGTCCGAAGTACCAGGTAAGAACATCGATGTCATTTATTTATTCATCCATCGATAAATATTTTTCAGTATCTGCAGTGTGTTGTGCACTATTCTAGTGAGTGGGGATGTAACATGGACTAGTTTTTACTCTCCTGGAGGTTACATTGTAGCTGGAGAGGCAGATAATTAAACAAGTAAGTTTATGCAATTCAATACATCTTAGGGTAGGGGAAATACAGAGAACTATGAGCATAGGTAGCAGGGATATTTTCCCCACCTTTTATTTACCACTTCAGCTTTTTTTGGCTCCTGGAATAATTTCTTATTTTACATAAATACTTTTTAATGATTGAAATATGAAGATAAGCATTTGTAATTAGGTAATTGTGTTCGGATGGAAATTGGCCCTCATAGCAAATCAGTAGGACAGTAATAACTCTGAAATTATTAAAATCCAGATATTAGGAGGTACTGCATAGTTCCTCCTACCCTCCTCTATTCCTTCTTCACCTTCCTAATAGTGCTGATGCTTACATATGTCATCATATATATGCCAGTTTGGACAATTTCTAATTTGGCCAACTGTGCAAACTTGTCTTTCTTTCTAATATTATTTCTAAAAACTGAATATTAGCAAATGGATTCAGATTTTAGGTGCTGCGAAGCAGCGAGGGGTTGTAATCTTTTTTGCATCAGAATCCCTAGAGATTGTCTTTTTTAAGGTACTGATTCTTAGGTCATGCACCCATATATTCTGATAAGTTCAGTATGGTCCTGGAAATCTGCTTTTTGAGCAAGAAGGCATTTAATTATTGTACCATGTACTTCACTACACTTGATAAAATGTGATTTCAGGTAACTAAGACATTAATTATCTTTGACTTACACAGATTATTATAGATTAGCTTTAAGTAATGAGTACTTGTAAAGAATTGACTTTTCAAATTAAGGGCCTTTAAAAAATAAAGCATTAAAGATAATAAAACTTTCTTAATTATGACCTTTATTATGTAATAGATTATATCCCATTAAAATATATGACATGCCAGTGGCATTCATGATAACTATTTGGTATATATTAGATCAGGCAAAGTGTGCCTCTAATAGCAAACTGTATGGTCTCGTAAAATTGTAAGCAGTAATTTATCTGTTTTTATTTTTTATATAATAAAATATTTTTGTCCTCACCTGAGGACATTTTTTCATTGCTTTTAGAAAGAGGGTGTGGGCAAGGGGGGAGAGAGAAAGAGAGAGAGAGAGAGAGAAATATCGATTGGTTGCCTTCTCATACATGCCATGACCAGGAATGGAACCAGCATCCTGACCAGGAATCAAACCTGTGACTCTCTTATCTGTGGGATGATGCTCCAACCAGCTGAGCCACACAGGCCAGGAAAACATGAATTCATTTTTATTGTCTTTTTTTTCTGAGAATTTTTTAATGTATTTTAAAAATTTATAAATGCTTTAATATTTAAATTCTTTATATAAGAAATAATAAGTCAAATTCTAATGGAGTTGGACACATGATAGCAAAAATGAGCTTGCAAAAAGAAGGCTCTCATTTATTTATTTATTTTAAAGATTTTATTTGTTTTTATAGGATGGGAAGAGAGGGAGAGAAAAATCCTTGTATGAGAGAATCATCTATTGGTTGCTTCTTTCATGCTTCCAACCAGGGACCTGCCCTGTAACCCAGGCATGTGCTCTGACCAGGAATCGAACCAGCAGCCTTTCGTTTTGCAGGCTAGTACTCAACCCACTGAACCACACCAGCCCGGGCAAGGCTCTCATTTCTGTCATTAGTAGGAGTAATTTAGGTTGACACTAAGAGTGGCATTGATTTTTTTTTTTTAAAAATCAAACTACTCGGTTATTTAAAAAAATAGTTCTGCTGTTTCTAAAATGTTGTTCTATCTTAAAAAAAAAAAAAAAGGCCCTGGCTGGTGTAGCTCAGTGGATTGAGCATAGGCCTGCAAACCACACGATCACGGTTTGGTTCCCAATTAGGGCACATGCCTGGGTTGCAGGCTGGTTTCCTGCAGGCCAGTTCCCAGCAGGGGATGCATGAAAGGCAATTGTACATTGATGTTTCTCTCCCTCTCTCTTTCCCCCCTTCCCCTCTAAAGATAAATAAATAAAATCTTTAAAAAAAAAATAAAATGTTGTTCTAAGTTCCCAAACCTTTGTGCTTTGAAATAGAAATTTTATCTTAAACTAGGTATAACAGAAGTGATTTTTTTCTTTAAAAAATTAGCTTTGTGCCCTAATTAGCATGGCTCAGTTGGTTGGATGTTGTCCTGCAAACTAAAAGGTTGCCAGTTTGCTTCCAGGTCAGGGCACCATGCATGGGTGCTGGTTAAATCCCCATGTTGGGGCCTTCCAAAGGCAACTGATTAATATTTCTCTCTCTCTCTCCCCTTCCCTCCCCCTCCCTCTGAAAATAGATAAATAAAATCATTTTAAAAATTAGCTTTGTGCCCTGGCTGGTGTAGCTCAGTGGATGGAGCCCAGGCCTGCGGACCAAACAACCATAGTTCGATTCCCAGTCAGGGCACATGCCTAGGTTGTGAGCCAGTTCCCAGCAGGGGATGCATGAGATGCAATTATGCATTGGCATTTCTCTCCCTCTCTTCTTCCCTTCCCCTCTAAAGACAAATAAATAAAATCCTAAAAAAAAAAAGATTAAAATAAATAAATAAATAAAAAATAAAAGAAAAATAGTGTGATGTATTGTATTTTGCTATGTAAAATATGTACTTTTTTTGCCCAAATTTTGTAGGAAAAATAAGGATGTGCATTATACATGTGTAGTACTGGTTCTGTATCTATATAAATGTTTTTAATTCTTTTATTTATGTTTATGCATTAAAAGTATAACTCTAGAAAGCAATGATATCTGTATGCAAAATAATACCCTTGAAAATACAAAAATGTATCTAAATATAAATAAATGAAAAATTGAATTAAAACGTTAAAACTAAAGATTTTTTTCTGAAAGGGCAAAAATGTGGGTGCATATTATACATGAAAGCACATTATGCATGACAAAATACAGTATTCCTTGGTCTCCACTTATAAAATGGGGGTTCTTATCACTTTATTGTTACCATCAGAGGAATTTGTTAAGTATTTTTTAAAAGCTCCAAATTCTTGATTTTCCTCACTGAGATGGTTTAAGTGAAATTTGCGAGTAATCATCACTTGATGTCTTAGTTATTAATGTCATATTCCTTAACAGTTGTTTAAGTTTTGTATCAGTTAAGAATCGTTTTGGAAAATTCTCTAAAATAGCAATATAATCAAATTAGGGATTATTTTCCTCACGAGAAGTATGGAAGTAGACCGTCTAGGTATGGTATATTGGTTTCAAGATAACCAACGCTCCCTTATGTTTCCACCTAGATTGAATTAATGTGTAATGGTTGCCTTGTGGTCCTAATATGGCATCTTCATCTTCAGTGACTTTGATTTATATTTCATTGACCAGGCTTGTGTTGAATGCATATAAGTGGATAATACTGAAAGCTGCTACTCCAGCAATTGGTTTAACCCTTTGAATATAGAAACTAACCCCAATCTCCTGTAATGTGGTTTTTCTCAGTTGGGCACATCACTGCCCTGAAACAAATAGGACTTCAAAATGTAAGGAATAAGGTATTTGGTAGATAATTAGTGATATTTACCACAGTATCTAAATAGTAACCAAATGGATGAGTTTAATTTTAACCTTTTTCTGACTCCTATGAAGACAAAGAGTAATAGAAAAGAATAACTTTTTGATCAGTTTGTTTTGGTTTTCCTTTTTTTTTTAAAGCATTTTATTGAATTTATTGGGATGACATTGATTAATATGTAGGTTTCAGGTATACAGTTCTATAGTTTCTTATGTGTATATTGTATTGCATATTTACCACCCTAAGTCAAGTCTCTTTCCATCACCAATTTATCCCCCGTTTTGCCTTCTAACTCCCTGCACCCCCTTTGATCAGTTCTTTGAAAATAAGACAGTAATGTTTCAAATAAGTCTGTTTTAAAAATACAAGATACATACAAATTACTCCTATTTTACACAATAGGAGTGGTAGGAATTATTCTACAAATTCTGTGAATTCTACTTCTTGTTTTCTGTCCTGGAGAAACATTGTGTATGCATATGTTATTAATAATGGTCATTTGTGCATTATTTGTAATAATAAAAACCTGGAAGTTACCTAAGTACCCATTCGTAAAGGAAACTGGCTAGATAAACTGGTATTTTCATATGGTAAAATGCTGTGCAGTTCTTTAAAGAAATCCATGTACAATATGGTTACATCTGTAAGATATTGTGAAATGAAGAAAATCCAGCTGCAGAACAGTGTAGAATCACTTTTAAAAACCAATATGTATGGTAACTACAGCAAAGGAATTTTTAATAAATCAATATTTGAAATAGTCATAAGGTTTTAAGTTTATAATCTTATTAGTGTTACCGTTATTGCTTAGGATTCTCGGTGCTCTTCCGATGCCAATATGCTTGGAGAGATGATGTTCGGTTCAGTAGCAATGAGCTACAAAGGGTCCACCTTAAAAATTCATCAAATCCGGTAAGGGATTTTCTGATTTTTTTCCTAATAAATTCATTCAGAATAGTGAATATTTTTGAAGATAAGATAATTTCATGTAGTCTTCACTCAGATTGAGCATGTCACATGGCTTAATTTATGATGTTCTGTGGGTTTAAGGTTGCTTCTTGGCTGTTAGGATTGCTGTGAAATCTCTGTGAATTCTACATTTTTATTCATAGTAAATTGAACAAGTTCTTGTGTTTTAGTTTTGATCTCTCTCCATCTCTCTTTTTTTTTTTCCATAGTTCCCCTCCACAGCTTATGCTTAGCAAAGTTTTTACTGCACGGACCGGCAGCAGCATCTGTGGGAGTCTCAATACGTGAGTGGTTATGGAAGCAGGGAGAAATGAATTATTTAAGATATGCAAAATATGAAAACTGACAGACTGCTCTCAGGATTGCAACTTAAATTTGGATTTTTTTCCATCCCTTAAATTTGAAAGTTTATGGAAATAAGATCCATCCCAGCTTTATTGAGCAGTAATAATGGACATAAAACATTGTGTAAATTTAAGGTATACAGCATGTTGATTTGATACATTTACATGTTATAAAATAGTTGCTATCATAGCACCAACACTTTCATCCTATCACATACTTGCCATTTTTTTTTTGTCGTGAGGACATTTAAAATTTACTATTGTAAGAACTTCTAAGTATACAACACGATACTATTAACTGTAATCTGCATGCTATATATCAGTTCCCCAGAATTTGTTAATCTGATAACTGAAGTTTGCACCCTATGATCATTAGCATCCTTTTTCCCACATCCCCAGCCCCTGGTAACCACCACTCTGCTCTCTTATTTCTCTGAGTTTCATTCTTTTAGATTCCGTTATGATAAGTGCTGTATCATAAAGTAGTTGTTTTTCTTTATCTCACTTATTTCACTTAGCATAATGCCCTTTAGGTTCATTTAAGTTTTCACAAATGACAAGATTTCCTTCTTTCTCATGGCTGCATTATATTTGTGTATGTATGAATGACATCCCTTTTGTCCATTCAATTGTTCACAGATACTTAGGTTTCGATTTGATTTATTTCACTTTGTATGATACTCTCAAGATCTATCCATGGTGTCATCGGTGTTTAGGCTATTCTCAGTAATGCTACAATGAGCATTGTTCACAGTGGCTTAAACATGGAAACAACATAAGTGTCCTTCAAAAGGGGATTGGATAAAGATTTATTTCACTTTGTATGATACTCTCAAGAGCTATCCATGGTGTCATCGGTGTTAAGGCTATTCTCAGTAATGCTACAATGAGCATTGTTCACAGTGGCTTAAACATGGAAACAACATAAGTGTCCTTCAAAAGGGGATTGGATAAAGAAGATGTACGTACAGGATGGGGCAAAAGTAGGTTTACAGTTAGTTGTTCATATGGAAAATAATACAATAAATAATGCAAGAATAAACTTTGTTTTGTGTACTCACAACTGTAAACCTACTTTTGCTATACCCTGTGCATACACAATGAATACTACTTAGCCATAAAATTATGAAATATTGTCATTTGTGACAACATGGATGGATTTTGGAAGTATCATACTAAATGAAATAAGTCAAATGGAAAGGACAAAAACCATACGATTTTATCCACATGTGGCATATAAAACAGAAAGCAACAAGCAAAATCTCAGATGCAGACAATAGTGTGGTGGTTGCCAGAGAGAAAGAGGGAGTGCAGGGAGTATGAAGAGGATAAAGGGGATCGAACATAGTGATGGAAGGAGACTAGAATTTGGGTGGTGAATACACAGTACACAGATGATGTATTATAGAACTGTACACCTGAAAATTATATGATGTTATTAGCCAATGTCACCTCAACAAATTCAATTAGAAAATAATGCTGCAGTGAACATGAAAGTTGCAGGTATCTGTTTGGTATCCTGTTTTCATTTATTTTTGCTATATACCCAGAGTGGTTGCTGTATCATGCTAGTTCCAATTTTAATTTTTTGAGGAACCTTCATACCATGTCTATATTGGTTGTATCAATTTACATTTTAACCAGCAGTGCATAAGAGTTCCCTTTTCTCCACGTGCTTGACACTTAGCATCTCTTGTTTTGATGATGCCAGATTAACAGATGTGAATTGATATCTTATTGTAGTTTGATTTGCATTTTCCTGATGATGAGTGATTTTGAACATTTTTGCATGTACTTGTTGGCCTTTTGTATGTCTTTGGAAAACTGTCTATTCAGTTTCCCTGAATATTCAGAGGAACTATTTTGGAATTGGGTTTTTTTCTGTTGATGCCTATGAGTTCTTTATATATTTTGGGTATTAGTTCCCTGTCAGATACATAGTTTGCAAATATTTTTTTCATTTTGTAGGTTGCTTTTTCATTTTGCTGATTGCTGCTTTTGCTGTACAGAAGCTTTTTTGTTTGATATAGTCCCACTTCTTTATGTTTGCTTTTGTTGTTTGTGCTTTTTCGTCATATTCAAGAAATTGCTGCCGAGACCTGTGTCAAGGAGGTTTTTCCCTATGGATTCTTCTAGGAGTTTTATGGTTTGGGATATTATGCTTAAAACTTTTATCTATTTCAAGTTCTTTTTTTTTTTTAGTGATATAAGGTAGGGTTTCAGTTTCATTCTTCAGCATATGGTTGCCCAAACTCTTGTTTCCTCACTGAGTATTCTTGACTCCCTAATCAAATATTAGTTGACCATACAGGGTAAGGCAAAGGTAGGTTTACAGTTGCTTATATGGAAAATAATACAATAATAAGTAATTCCAAGAATAAACTCTTTCACATACTCACAACTGTAAACCTACTTTTGTCCCACCCTGTATATGTGGGAGGTTTTTTTTAGGCTCTTGAGTCCATTCCATTGTTCTGTGGGTCTATTTTTTATGCCAGTATCATACTGTTTTGATTACTGTAGCTTTGTTGTCTAGTTTGAAATGAGGAAGTGTGATGCCTGGGGCTTTATGTGTGTCTTCTTCAATTTCTTTCATCAAAGGCTTCTAATTTTCAGTATAGTGATCTTTTACCTCTTGGTTAAATTTCTAGGAATTTGGTTGTTTTTGATATAGTTTTTCTTTTTAATTTCTTTTTTGGATATCTTGTTGTTAGTGTGTTAGAAACACAACTGTGTTCTGTATGCTGATTCTATGTCTTGCAACTTGACTGAATTTGCTTATTCTAGCAGTGTTTTGGTTGAATCTTTAGGATTTTTTATATATAAGATCATATCATCTTCATACAGACCGTTTTATTTTTTTTCTTTGGTTGCCTTTTTTTTCCTTGCCTGATTGTTCTGGCTAGTACTTCCAGTACTCTATTGCATAGAAGTGGTGAGAGTAGGCATCCTTGCCTTGTTCATGATCTTAGGGGAAAAGCTTTCAACCTTTCACCATTGAGTATGATGTCGGCTTTGGGTTTGTTGCAAATGGCCTTCATCACATGGAAATTTGCTCCTTCTATATTCTCTTTGTTGAGGGTTTTTTTTTTCCATGAAAATATGTTGTATTTTATCAAATGCTTTTTCTGGAGCCGATTGTGACGATCATATGATTTTTATCTTTCATTCAGTTAATGTGGTGTGTCCTATTTATTGTTTTGCATCTGTTGAACCATTCTTGCATCCCAGGCATAAATTTCACTTGATAATATTGAATGCTCCTTTAATGTACTGTTGAGGTCAGTTTGCTAATACATTGTTTAGAAATTTTGCGTGTATATTCATCAGGGATATTAGTCTTTACTTCATAGTGTCCTTATCTGGCTTTGGTGTCAGGGTAATTCTGGCCTTGTGAGTTTGGGATGTTTCCTCCTCTTCAGTTTTTGGAAGAGTTTGAGGATTGACATTAGTTCTTCTTCAAATGTTTGATAAAATTTACCAGTGAGACCATCTGAATCTTTACTTTTTTTTCTGTGTTGGAGGTTTGTAATTACCAAGTTATCTCCTTCCTCATTATGGGTCTGTTGAGAGTTTTCAATTTCTTCATGATGTAGTCTTAGTGATTGTATATTTCATACTTAATTTGTTTCTTCTGGGTTACCAGTTTGTTGGCATATAATTGTTCATAGTAGTCTTTCATGATCCTTTTTATTTCTGTGGGATCAGTTATAATGTCTCCTCTGTCATTTCTGACTTTATTTGGTATCTCTGTTTTTCTGAGTTTGTCTGTCTAAAGATTTGCCAACTTTGTGTATATCTTCAGAAATGCAGCTCTTAGTTTTATTGATCTTTTCTATTATTTTTCTGGTCTCTATTTTATTTATTCCCCATCTAATTTTTGTTAACAGCAGGTCTTCAAATAACATCATTTTCTTGTTCAATGTTTTATTATAACATTGATGAGATGTTGTGTCGGAACTTTACTCATTTATATCAATCAACTGGTAGTAAAATTGGTTTCATGATACCTCATTTTGCTTAAAGTTGCAGAACTTATCAATGTTAAGTGAGTACTTACTATATTTCTGTACTTTTGAAAACTTTGGACTTAGTTTGTTCTCTTTCGAGTTCCTTGAGTTATAAAGTGAGGTTTCTTATTGAGATCTTTCTTGTTTTTTAATATTGGCATTTTTTTGCTGTAAACTTTCCTCTTAAAACTGCTTTTGCATCATCCTGTATGTTTTGCTATGCTGTGCTCCCATATTCATTTGTTTCAAGATACTTCTTGGTAGCCCTTTTGATTTCTTTCTTGACATATTGGTTGTTTAGGAGCATGTTTTTTTAATTTCCACATATTTGTGAATTTTCTAGTGTTTCTACTGTTACTGATTTCTAGTTTTCACATCATTGTGGTCAGAAAAGTTACTTGGTATGATTTCAGTCTTCTTAAATTTGCTAAGACTTGTTTTGTGAATTATCATGTGATCTGTCCTGGAGAATGTTTCACGTTTGCTGGAGAAGAATATATTTTCTGCTGCTGTTGGATGGAGTATTCTGTTTATCTATTAGTAACATCTGGTTTAAAGCATGGTTCAAGTCCTACATTTCTTTGTTGGTTTTCTGTCTGGGTGATCTGTTTGTTGTTGATAGTAAGATATTAAAGTCCTCTACTATTGCATTGTTGTGTATTTCTTCCTTTGCATATAATAGTATTTGCTTAATTTGTTTAAGTACTCTGATGTTGGGTGTATATATATTTTTGATTGCTATATCTTTGTGATGGATTGACCCCCTTCTTACATGACTGTCTTTGTCTTTTGTTACTGTTTTGGGCTTAAGGCCTATTTTGTCTGATATAAATATAGCTATCCCTCCTCTCTTTGGGTTTCCATTTCCATGGAATATCTTTTTCTACTCCATCATTTTGAGCCTATGTGTGTCCCTAAAGCTAAAGCGAATCACTTGCAGACAGCATATTGTTGGGTCTTGATTTTGCTTTTTTTTTCTTATCCATCCAGCCACTCTGTGTATGAAGGCCAGGTTGCTTCCTCATTTGAGTTTAGTTGAAGAAAAGGAAATGTGGTTTCTCTTTCTCTAATTTGCAAAAACCTGTATCTGGAAGTAAAATTGTGAATGCATTTCCATGTTAAGTTGACATGCTGATTTTTCCATTTTGCAGTGCCATGCTGAGTAAGCTACTTTAGGTTGTGCTCTTCAATTTTTAGATTCCCTGCAGAATTAATTCTGCAGTTAGGAGTGGCCTAGGTCAGCCATATAGTGGAGCATAGGAATATTAAAAGCTATTATTGCCAAGATTAGAGTAGGGAAGCTGAAATGAGGTCAGGCCTGTTGTCAGGATAATGGACTACATGCCAGAACCTAGTAAATGAAGGACCGGGGCTAGGGTGAGGTGGTAGTGGACCCCAGGGAGGGATTCTGCAGGTTCCAAATCAGAAACTATGAGGGCACTGAAAGTCAAAAGTAGCAGGAGCTAGAAATCTAAACTAGGAAAATTCTCAAGTGCTTCTATTTATTGTCAGTGTTTTAAAAGACTTTTGAGGGGTTTTATTAGCTGATGTTCTAATACCTGTAGCTCTTTCTTAACTTTTAGGAAGGAAAGGGAGTAATGCTTTTTATACTATAATGGACACTTAAAAATATTGATGCCAAAAGTACTAATTTTTAAGAGCTTAATACTAAAGTCAAAATTAGGTATTCTTCATTGGAATGACTGACATTTAGCTCTGACCCCCTCAGTTTCTTTATCTTTTCCAAGTTCTAATTGATCTGTCTTAAAATCTCAAGGAAAGGATACTTCGGACTAAATGCATAAAGTATGATTTTATTTTTATTTGAATAATTTGCTAACAAAAGTAATATAGGTCATTTGTAATGTGATACTTTTTGGATATTTGGTTGATTGTTTTTTATCACTCTTTTTTTCTGCCAGAAGTTTAGAAAATATTTTCAGGGCCAAAATTTGAAAGAAAGCTTTTCATTTAAATTGGGGTCATAATTTTTTGGTAAAAGTTCAGATAGTAAATATTTTTGTTTTTGTAAGCTAGGGACAGTATATTGTAGTTTCTCAGCTCTGCAGTTGTAGCATTAAAACAGTCATATACAATGCATAAATGAATGGGCATGGCTGTGTCCCAATAAAGCTTTATGCACAAAACCAGCAGCAGGCTGGAGTTAGCCCTTAGACTGATTTAAATTATTAGTTAGTTTATAGTACTATTAGGGGAATTTAAAAACACTATTATTCATTTAAAATTTCATTGGGTGTGCAAAGAATGGCCATAAAGAGCATAAAATGAATTTGGAATTTATTTTTTCTTCTCCCCTTTTAGGCTTCAAGACAGTCTTGAATTCATCAATCAGGACAGCAGTACATTAAAGGCTGATAGTAACACAGTTATTAATGGACTACTTGGAAATATAGGTAAATGGTTTCTTTGGTTCTGTAAGTTTTAAAATTAAATGTTAACAGTATAATGGATTTACAGTTCTTTCTTAATAATGTAGGTCTTTTATAAGGACCAAGAAGTTTCAAATACTAGAAACAGAAAAGGCTTTTATATTCTAAGTATATATAACATTTGTATTATTTGAAAAACATAATTTTCATATATTTGAGCATGTTTGTTTAGTATATGAAAAGAGAGAACTGCTGAAGATCTACCAAATTGGCTTTTGTTTTTAATTTTGATGCATCTTTAAAAGGCACTATTACTGATATAAAAAGCCCTTAGTAGCTCACTTGAATATTTCAGCTGAAGAATACTGGTATTAATTACACTTTCTCCCTTCTCTCTCCCCTGTCATTAATAAAAGTAATTTTGAAATGGTACTCATTTTTGACCTATAATTCAGATGAGAAGATATTCAAATATGATGTTCATTAGATTTATTAGAGTAACAACTTATTAAGTAACTTGAATAGTTCATTGTTATAATCAAGTAAGTTCAATATTTTAAAGTGACACACTATTTGTAACATTTTTAGTCATTTGTTTTATCCTAGAAAACTTAACTGAATTTCTGCTTACCATACTTCCAGAACAGATAGCAGTTAGTATAGAATGAGTATTTCTCTCATTCCCTGGTTAGTGAGAATTTTTATTTGTAATTAATTTAAATAAATAAATATGTATCAGTTATACAGATTAGTAGAAAACAGTTTTTTCTTCCAACTTGAATGGAGTAACATTCTCATATTTTTTATTCTTGTTCATTCATATCGCAACCATTTATTAAGCACTCACTGCAGGCTAGTTATAGTGTCAGGCATGTACTTAAAATGTGTGTATATTTTGTAGAAAAATAGAAGTTCTGCTTTTTTCTTAACATGATTAATTATTTCATTGGCTTTAATAAAAGCAAAGATGTGACAGGAAATAAACGAATTTTTCCTTTACAATTTGACACTTTTCAAAGCTCAGTGTGCTTATTAAAAGCTAATTATTTTACTAATACAAATTCACTTACAAAGATAATTACACTACGAGGCTAGATACACTAATCTTTGTTTTACTATAAATAGGAAATTAGCTAATTTAAGAGTACAGACTTTAAATAATGAGCAGCTTTTATTTGTACATTCTTTTGTGAATCAAGAATATTTGAGCATCTGAGAGGTAGTGTGGCCGAGTGGTCCAAGAATATTTGAGCACCATTTCTTACTTTCTTTTTATTTTTAATTAATCAATAAATACTTATCAAGTACCTACTATATGCTAAGCATTCTGCTAGGCCTTGAGGATACAGAAGTAAAGCAGACACGGTTTCTTCCTCAGTGGATTTATAGTTAATGGGATTCAGGCATGTAATACAATAATTATAGTGTCCTGTAGTTAATTCTTAGATAGGATTAAGAGCATGGTGTGATAAAAGTGAAGAGGATTAACTAATTCAATTATGAAGAGTTAGGAAGGCTTCCTTGAAGAAGTGAGGCATAAATTTGAAGGATTAGTCTGATAGCTGGGGAAAGAAATATTTTTAGAAAAAGCAATAGCATGTGCACAGACCTAAGGGCAAGATCACAGAGCATGGGAGGAATGTGAATAGATCAATGTGGATGGAGTACACAATAGGACTAAAGAAGCTAAAAAGAGAGAAGTGAGCAAGAGCCAAACCATGATGGGCACTGTGGGTCATACTGAGGAATTTGGACTTAGGCTTTGAGCCTTGGGTACCAGTGATGGTGTGTTAGCTTGGATCCTCCACCTGTTTTTTAACAGGTGCCAAGAGAGGATTAAACATGCAAGGATTTTATTAGGGGAAATGACTAGTGTGAGAGAAAATGAGAAGGGAGCTGGAAAAGGTCAAGAGCGCCCTTGGCTTGTGATACATATCTGAACCCAAGCAAAAGAGAGGAATAGAAGATTGTGTGGAAGTGTCCAGCCTGCCATACAGTTTAAGAAAGCTTTGGTGAAGCCATTGACAAGTCTTCAAGTCATTGTTTGTTGTCAAAAGAGACCCACTTCTTGCCAAAACGGGCCTACCTTACTATACTGCTCTGTTCAGTCATTGGCTAGGAGTAGCCTATGGGACATGCAAACTTACACAAACGTGGCAGTGAATTTCAGAATACAGCAGCTGGCATAATTTGTCAGTTACAGTCCTTGTAGCCAGAGATTTTTGTGGTCTATTCTTAAGGCCACCACAGGAGTTTTCAGAATAAAGGCATACCTCTGAGATGGTATGGATTTGGCTCCAGACCACACAATAAAGCAAATATCTCAATAACATGAGTACCATGATTTTTTTTTTGTTTCCCACTGCACATAAAAGTTATGTTTACACTATACTACAGTCTGGTAGGTGTTCAGTAGCATTATGTCTAATAAAATAATATACTTTAATTTAAGAAATAGCATATTGCTAAAAAATGCTAACTATCAGCTGAGTCCTCAGTAAATCATAATCTTTTTGCTGTTGGAGGATGCCCACCAGTGAGGCTGGTGGTTGCTGAAGGTGGGGTGGCTGTGGCAAGTTCTTAAAATATGACAACAATGAAGTTTGCTGCATCAGTTGATTCTTTCTTTCATGAATGATTTCTGTGTAGCATGCAACACTATTGGAAGTTCTACTGCGTTTTACCTGCAGTAGAACTTCTTTCTATTGAAGTCATTCCTCTCAAACCCCCACTGTGGCTTTATCAACTAGAATTATGTAGTATTCTAAATCTTCTGTTGTCATTTCAACAACCTTCACAGCATCTTCACCGGGAGTGGAATTCATTTCAAGAAAACACTTTGTTTGCTCATCCATAAGAAGCAACACCTTGTCCATTAGAATATGATCATGAGATTGTAGCAATTCAGTCACAGCTTCAGGCTCCACCTCTAATTCTAATTTTCTTTCCTTTCCCACCACATCTTCAGTAACTTTTAAGTTTTAAACTCAAGTCATCCATGAAGGTTCGAGTCAGCGTCTTCCAAACTCCTGTTAATGTTGATATTTTGATCTCTTCCCATGAATCGTGAATGTTCTTACTGGCATCTAGAATGGTGAATCCTTTTCAGAAGGTTTTCAATTTACTTTTGCCCAGGTCCATCATAGGAATCACTATCCATGGCCTTATGAAATGTATTTTTTTAAATACTGAGACTTGAAGCTGAAATTTCTCCTTGATGGTCCATGGGCTGCAGAATTGTTGTTTGTAGCAGGCATGAAAACATTAATCTCACAGTATACTTCCATTAGAGCTCCTTGGTTCCCCGCTGCCTTGTCAATGAGCAGTAATATTTTGAAAGAAATCTTTCTCTGAGCAGTAAGTCTCAACAGTGGACTTAAAATACTCAGTAAATCATGTTGTAAATAGATGTGTATCTATTTACATGTTGTATCTAGGCTTTGTTGTTTTGTTTATAGAACACAGGCAGAGTGGATTTAATATAATTCTTAAAGACTCCAGGATTTTTGCAGTGGCAAATCATCATTGGATTTAACTTTGTCACCAGCTGCATTAGCTTCTAACAAGAAGCCAGACATTGACTTCTGCTCTCTAGCGATGAGAGCCCTAGATGACGTGTTTTTCAAATTTAAGGTTGTTTCATCTACACTGAAAATCTGTTTCTTAGTGTAGACATCTTCATTACTTATTTCAGCTAACTTGTAGTTTTTATACCAGCACTCGCTGCTTCACTATGCACTTTCACGTTATGGAGACAGGTTCTCTCCTTAACCCTCATGAACCAGCCTCTGCTAGCTTCAGACTTTCCTTCTACAGCTTCTTCACTCTCTCAGCCTTCCTAGAATTGAAGAGAGTTAGGGCCTTGCTCTGGATTGGGCTTTGGCTTATGGAAATATTGTGGCTGGTTGATCTTCTTTGCAGGCCACTACAACTTCCTCCACATCAGCAATAGGCTGTTTTGATTTCCTATCATTTTGTGTGTTCACTGGAATAGCACTTTTAACTTCCTTCAGGAACTTTCCCTTTGCATTCACAACTCAGCTAACTGGTGCAAGAGGCCCGGCTTTCAGCCTGTCTCGGCTTTCAACGTGCCTTCTTCACTCAGCTTCATCATTTCCAGCTTTTGATTTAAAATGAGAGGCATGTGACTCTTTCTTTCACTTGAACACGTGGAGACGACTGTAGGATTATTAATCGGCCTAATTTTAGTATCGTTGTGTCTCAGGGAACAGGGAGGCCCAAGGAGAAGGGGAGACATGGGGGAACGGCTGGTAGGTGGAGCAATCAGAACACACACATTTGTCAGTTAAATTTGTTGCCTTAAAATTATGGATGTGGTTCATGACACTCCAAACAATTAGAATAATAGCATCAAAGATCACAGATTGATCACAGATCACCATGACAAATATAATATTGAAAAAGTTCGAAATATTGTGAGAATTACAAAAATATGACAGACACTCAAATTGAGCAAATGCTGTTGGAAAAAGCTGATAGACTTGCTCTATGTAGGGTTGCCACAAACCTTACATATGTAAAAAGCACAATATCTGCCAAATGTAATAAAACAAGGTATGCCTGTATTTAGTTGAGATTTATCTCTGCAAAAGAATATTTTAAGTGCAGCGGGAATGGATCCAAATTAGCCAGTGGGATTGAAGAAAGACCTGTATTAGAAGGCTGTTTGTTTTCATCTGAGTGACAGGTAATGGGGTCGTAAAGTAAGACTGCATCAGTGTCGGTAGAGAGAGCACTTATTGAGAGGCTCATTTAGGAAAATAGGGTGGACCGGACTTAGTAATTAGAAGAGATGAGGGAAAAAGGAATAAGTTGGGAGTGGCACTTTGCCATCCGGTTGTGTAATTGCATGGATATTGGTATCATTCTCTGGGAGGAACAGAAGAAATTGGTAGATGATTTTAGGTGTAGGCATGTTGAATCAGAAGTGTTAGTGGGACAGCCAAGTAAAGATATTCACTATACCTGCTTAGATAGATGCATTGCAGTAGTAGCTGCTGTAACATAAAAACTAATGAACACATACTAATTTTAAAATATTTCATTACTCCCCTGTCCAGGTAGCTCAGTTGGTTAGAGCATTGTCCCAGTAGCACACCAAGGTTGCAGTTCCATCCCTGGTCTAGGCACATACAAGAGCAACTAACAAATGCATAAATAGATGGAACAACAAATTGATGTTTCTCTCGTTCTCTCTCTAAAAGTCACTAAAAATTAAAAAAAAGAAAAACATTATATTCATGTAATATTCAAAAGGGTATTTCTCATTGGTAAGTATTTTACCTCCAGTGTTCTAGAGGTCCAGTCTCTTTCCTTCCTTGGAATTCTGCCTCCTTCAACATGTAGGCTCCAGGGTTGTGCTCAGCTGTGTCAAGCCAGTGAAGGGATTAAGTATGGAGAAGGCATGTTCAGTTCATAACCACTACAGCCTGAAAGTGACCTCCATCACTTTCATTCACATTCCATTGGTGGTAACTAATCACATGATGGCTTTACTTATCTTTAAGAAGATTTGAGAAGTGTGGCCCCTAATTGGGCAGCTGCTTCCCAGAGTCTACTTGATATTATGGAAGGGAGAAAATTCTTTGTTAGCTGTGTCTTCCATGGATTTGAGAATTATTAGCATATATATGATCGTTGAAAGCACAAGAATGAATGAGATGACCTAGGACATGTAAAGAATGAGAAAGATTGTTGAGGATGTAACCTAGGGAATGCTAGCTTTAAAGAAGTAGGGAAGAGAAGCACATAAAGGAGACAAAGAAAGAAACTTAGAGTGTATTATTATGGAAACCGTGGTGGGGGAGTTCAAAGTCCTGTCTGCATTAAATATGCTATAAGGTAGTATTAGGTAGTACAGATTGCATTAAGCAACAGTTAAGGCTTTTGTTGATTTATGTGAACAGTTTCAGAGTTGAGGAGAGACTGAAGTTAAGTGTTTTTCCCAAGATGTAAGCAGTGGTTCTCAAATTTTTTGGTCTTTGGACTGTTTTAAACACTTAGAAATTATCGAGGACCACAGAGAACTTTTGTTTATGTTGGTTACCTTTATTGATATATACTGTATTAGAAACTAAAACAAAATTTCAAAGTATTCATTTAGGAATTAATTAAAAAATAATACCAATAATCTCTTTTATGTTAATGTAAATAACATGTTTCTCAGTAACTTTTCTAAGAGAAAATAATTTAGTTAGAAGAATGGCAGTGTTTTACATACTTGCAAATCTCCTAAATGTCTGGCTTACTAGAAGATAGCTAGATTCTCATATCTGTTTCTGTATTCAGTCTCTTGTGATATGTGGTTTTGGTTTAAGTGTATTAAGAAAATCCATTCTCACAGAGATAAGGGGAAGATACTCACGGACTCCCGGAAAGGGTTGCAGGGACTTCCCAGAGATCTTAGAACTGCATTTTAAGAACTATGGAACTATGGGATTAGCTATTTATGGTGAGAATGTAGAAGAATTTTGACTGTGTTTAAATGCTGATGGAAAAGGAGATTATAAAGAGAATGAGGTTAAAGATAGTAATACTTGGTCAAGTGAGATTTTTGTAGGTCTTGTCTTATTTACAAGAATTTGTTTTGGAATAGAGGGTGAGGGTACCTCTTAGGATTTTTCACTGAATAAGTCCTTAGCACATGGTAAGTCTTAAATAATGTTACTTCTTATTAGTGCTCAGGCAGGAAGAAAGCAAGGATAGGTGAGAATTTGATTAAGTTTGGAGATAGGTCAGTAGGTTGGAAAAGGGGCAGTCTCATTTGAATTCTGTGTATGCAGGCACACATAAGGGGCTCCGTGTGGGTGGTCGGATACAGGCACATGATGAGACTAAGGAAGGGGAAGGGGTAGGAGTTTAAAGAGCAGATAAGAAGAACTGAAGAAAGATCTAAATAAAACATGGAAGAATCGTTGCCTATGTACTGTAATTACAGAAATTCTTGTTATAGAAAAATATGTTAGTAATTTGAAAAATACAGGGTCTAGCAGAAATGCTTGCTTCAGTGTGGTTAGTACGTTAATAACATATACATAATAATTTATAGTTTTAATTCGAACATAATACCTAATGACATTTCACCTAAAATGTCATATAGTGTGATTGTGATATTGTTATGTTAGAGATTTACATGCTTATGATTTTGTAATAAAAAGGGGCATTATTCGTGCCGAACCCTGTATATTTGCCACTTTTTAAAACAGAAATCTCCTATTAGCCCTAGGTGGCTATTTAGGCTGTGTTGATCAAGAGTAACTAAGGAGTAACCCAGCTGCTTGCTTCTAGGCTGTAGTATTGCCCTTGTTGGGGCTTTAGACTCTGTTGTCTTCTCTTGGTCAAGTGTGCAGCAGCCACTTTTCTTGGACACCCAGGAATCAGTCTGACCCTGACAGGCTGCATTGGTGGCCTGTTTCCTCAGCGGCTAACTGCTAGTCTAAGATGTTTCTTTTTTTTTTTTCTGTTATGCTGTAACTTAGTACTACATTAGAAAAAACTTTTTATATCCTTTTCTGTATTTGCTCTTTGTTGTATGTCGTGTTCTGTTTTCTCAGCCAGGCATTTAGGTGGTTTTATCCTTGTAGCCATTGCAGGAGAGTATTGTCATTTTAAGACTGACTTTTTAAAAGATAAGTTTTTGGCAAATGTCAAATTATATAGATAACATTACTGTGCTTTTTGGCTCTTTAAAGGATTGTTTTAGAAAGGATTGAACATTTAGAACAATTTTTACCTTGTATAATGGAAGCTTATTTTTATTATATACAAATTTATTAGTAAATTGGCATGAAATTATTATTTATGATTTGTCATAAACAGAAGGAAACCATCCTGTTTCAAAACAGGGAAGTCAGCTGGAATTATTGTTATTTAGTTTAAAAGTGACTGTTCATATCTGTTGGTCTGCCTTTTTGCTACCTTAGCTCACTTTTTGTTCCTGACGCACTGCAGCTTCTCTAACAGCTCTCTTTTACATGTATTTTACGTTTTTGCCATGTAGGTCTTTCACAGTTCTGCAGCCCCAGGCGGGCATTCTCTGAACAGGGTCCGCTCCGCCTGATCAGGAGCGCCTCTTTCTTTGCAGGTTTGCGCTGTGCTGTGTGGGTAGACTAGTTGGTGTGCACCAGTGGCTAGAATCAGTAGTGAAGCTGTGGAAACAAGAGAGTCAATAATTACAGTTGGGGAGGGTTTGGTTGAGAAAACATTGCTTAGGAAGTACAAGAACTTAATTCATTTCTACTGAATATGTTCTTGAAGTTTCCAGAAACTTTATCAGTAGAACTAACATTTTCATGAAATTTCAGTGTTTGTTATTTCTTATCTCATCATGGAATAATGATTTAAACTTGAATTTCAAACCAAAATTTAGTCTAAATATTATAATCCAGCTGGAATTTTTGATGTGAATACTGTCTTGTTTCCATGGCTGAGTAGCTTTTGTTACCATAGTTCACCAATTGCAGAAAATATCCTATCTTATTATTAATGTAAAATTTCTGATCTGAACTATTTCATGAGAATGATTTCTTTTGGAGCTAAGATTTAGATGAACAAGCACCATTATAATTACACTATAAAAGGCATATATGAATATATTTGTTTATATCATTGTAGAGTGTGTCCATGCTTCAGTGTTCAGCTTCTTTTAATATTTATTTTCCTTATAAATATGAGGTATGAACAATTTATAGACAATTGGGAAATGTGAAAATAGGTAACAAATATATCTTAGCTCTCTCTCAGCCAGAAATAACCTCCTTGATCTTTTTTTCAAAAGAAAATGAGGATCATACTGCTCAGATAGTTTTCTTAAATTTTTTTATTATGTAGAAGCTTTAAAGCAACATTGATATATGCAGAATAATAGAGTGAACCATTATATACCCATTACTTAGCCCCAGCAACATTCTTACTGTTCAGTAGCTTGCCTTTTTTCCATTTAATAGTATATTGTGATTATCTGTGTCATTGTATATGCTTTTAAAATACTTCAGTCACCCTTGCTTCTTTAGACATTATAGGTTATTTACATATTATATGTCAAATCATTAGCTGGATCTCAAAGCTTGTTCAACTGAGTAATAGCTCTTGGTGTTGGGTTTGTGCCATGCTATTGAAGAAATGAAGGAATGCAATGAGATGAGCATGATTGAGTTTGCTGTTTGAAAGGGACAACATCAACCTGAACGGCAATGTAGTTTATAACTGAAAGTTTTGTCTTGATTCACAGTTCACAGCAACCCAATGGATATGCCTGGAAGAGAGCTGAATGAGGACAGAGACAGTGGCATAGCACGCTCTGGTAATGCATTAATTTAGTTTTTTATGAGATAACTGTTAGCCGACATTGGTTTTCTTTTTATCTTTGCCTTCATCATTCAATTTTATGTCTACATCTTGGTAGTATTGATATTACAAGAGAATTGTAGAAACAGCAGAGAAATATATTAAATTTAAAATATTTTATATTTACTATTGAATGCGTGTGATGGAGCATGGCCTGGATGAATGCACATTGGCTTAGGTGTAGCCAGTACAAGGAAAAAAGCATTGCTCAAGGGACTGCTTAGATAGCATAGTAGAGAAAACACACTTGCTTATAACCGTTTGCTACTAGCTAGAGTTTAAGTTATGAGACTCTCTCTTGCCCAGAAAGACTTAGACATTTTGATTTAATGTTATACATATTTTTTTTCAAATATGGACTCTCCCAAAATTTGTTTGACAAACTTTTGTAGAAACAAATTGTGGGGAGCAGCGGGGAAAGTAAAGCCCAATTCTTCATTAAGGAGCTGAATCTACTGAGAGAGCAGTCAGGAAAATAATCTGGTATAGTTCATTGTGTGAGTCATTCTATGATAGGCCTATGCAAAGAGGTTCAGAGAAAGGGAACCTAACAGCCAGGGCAAGGGACAGGGTAATAGTAGTGCTTTACAGAGGGGTAGTGTTTGAGTTGTGTCTTGAAAAATAAACAGGCATTATCCAGGCGAAGGCATGGAAGAAGGACATTCCATTTAAAAGGAACAGTGTTTGACAGGGCCCAGAGATCAGCGTAAGTAAAAGGAGGAGTAGTCTTAGGCTTGAGTTATTGTTAGGTTGAAAAACTTTATTCACTGTGGTTTTCCATGTGTGCTGTCACATTATATGGCTCTGCTATCTAAATTGGTTATAATTCAGTTTTGAGTATGGAATCCCCGAATTTGCATTGGAATAACAAGCCCAAAGTTATTAGAATAATTTCAGGAGTTTCAAAAATTACTCCCCAAAACTCTGATTTAGTGTAGAGCAAGGGTGTCAAACTCATTTTCACTGGGGGCCACATCAGCCTCGCTGTTACCTTCAAAGGGCTGAATGTAATTTTACAACTGTATAAGTGTAACTACTCCTTAACTAGGGGCTGCTGCCAGAGAGAGACAAGGTGGAGGGCTGGATTCGGCCTGCAGGCCTTGTATTTGTCACCTGTGGTATAGAGAAAGTCTTAGGTATCCATATTTGACCAAAAAAACCAAGAAAAACTTCAACACCTGATTCTGATGGACACCTAGAGTTGAGAACCACTAGTTTAATATGAAAAGTCTGTATCTTTCGGATAATCTCACTCTTTTTTTCTTATTGAATTTATTATTTTTGTTCTTAGGTAGTAATCTAGAGTACATTTCTCTCAATACCTTTGCTTCTATATAATACAGAGATTTAGTTTTCTGTGGCTGGAACAAAATTCTCATTATTTTATCCAACATTTTGGAGGTGATAAATTCATGTCTCTATACTTCATTTTCTTTAGTTATAAATTGAAGGGCCTCGCTAGATTGATCTGTAAGGCTTCGCCAAGCCATTAAATTCACATATGCTAAGTTAATTTAGGTATTTTCTTTCTTTTTCTAATAGCGTTATTTGTAATTTCATAATTTAGTAAAACATAGCTTTTCCAAAATTAAAGTAGCATTTGATTTTGCATTGAAGTCACACCTAGATTTGTTGTACATAATCCAGTCTTGTCTTCATCTACAGAATTTTATAGCACTAATTGATAAAATGGAATCTTTTCAAGAATGTAGTTTAGAATTAATTAATTGGTAGTTCAGATGTTTGCATGGTACTTAAAGTGCTCTCATTGAATTTGTCAGAGAGAATTCAAATAAACAAATCTTGATAATGTTAAATCTCTTTTAATTTTCAGTTCTGGTGTCCAAAATGATGTCATGTGGCATGTACTTTTCCATAGATGATAATAATACATCCCTCTTTTAGATTACTTGATACATTTTCTGTATGTAGTTATAATCATGAAGATGGCAATCTAAAAATACTGCCAAACAAAAGCAAGCCTTAATGTCTTTTCTTCTATAGTTTCAGAGGGAAGAAGGTGAGCTTTCCTAACCCAAGGAAAAATAAAGTTATAGCTTTTTACACCCTAGGCAAGAAACAGAGCTTTTTGAATTGCAAAGAAGGGTTTGGGGAAGAGGATAGTACCCCATGGTTATGGGGTTTCAGCAGTTATCAGAGTAGACTGTATTGGGTGTATGTCAACCATAAGACTGCCCCAGAGAGTAGTTTATAGGATTTACCCTTTTTTGGAGCTTAGTTGGTATAGTCAAGACTCTTACTAAAAGTGGCCAAGCATTAACTTTTAAATAACATCTTTAAATGACATTAAGACACTTATTTTCAAATAACAGCTTCGGTTCTTAAAATACAGCTACTGCATTAAAATTGAATCACATCATATTTCCTTTAATTTAGAAACTAAGGGTTCAGCTAAGCTAGGGAACAGTCTCATGGCAAAGGGAATAATGCTTTGTTTCAAAGTAGCATTTTTCTTCTGGGGTGGGGATGGAGGTAAGGATGTCAAGGGGTATTGTCTCAGAGTCTTCTTGCCAACACAATGGTAATATATTATTTTTCTTCTTTGGGATCTTGATTCAACAAAAATGTTATTAAGTGGAAATTTGGGGGGCTCATGAAGCAAAATGGAAAATTTGAGTCACTATTCTTAAATTTGTTAAAAAGAAATTTGTCCTTTTGCTTAGTGATAATTGACTTATACGTTATGCTTCTTCTGATTTGACAGCATCTCTCAGCAGCTTGCTTATTACACCATTTCCCTCCCCAAACTCCTCACTTACCCGAAGTTGTGCCAGCAGCTACCAGCGACGTTGGCGACGCAGCCAGACAACAAGTTTGGAAAATGGGGTCTTCCCTAGATGGTAAGTTGGAACCTTCAATTCACATAACCAAGACTGAATAGTTCCTTAAACACAATTTTGTATGGTTTTGCATTTTATGTATTTTAAATTTGGAACTTAAAACCTTTTAAATGTATTGCATTTTTTTAAAGATTTAATTCATTTATTTTTAGAGGGAAAGGAGAGAGGGAGAGAAATATCATTGTGTGGTTGCCTCCCATGTGTCCCCTGCTGGGAACTGGCCTGCAACCCAGGCGTGTGCCCTCACTGGGAACCAAACCGCAATCATCTGGTTCGCAGGCCCACACTCAATCCACTGAGCTATACCAGCCAGGGCTGCATTGTTTTTTATTGTGGTAAAATATGCATAACATAAAATTTACCATTTTAACCATTATCAGGTATGTAGTTCAGTAGCTGTGCAATAGTTGTGCAATAACCATTGCTGTGCAACTATTCATGTCCAGAAATTACCTCCCAAGCAGAAACTCTGTACCTGTTAAACAATAATGGCCCCCCCCACTCCTCCCTCTCCTTTACTCCCTGGCAATCACCATTCTATTTTTTGTCTCTATGAATTTCACTAATCCAGATACCTGATATAAGTGGAATCACAAAGAATTTGTCCTTTAATATATGGCTTATTTCACTTAGCATGTGTTCATATAGCAGGAATCAAAGTTTCATTCTATTTTATGGCTAAATAATAGTCAATTGTATGTATATACCACATTTTGTTTATTCATATTCATCTGTTAATGGACATTTGGGTTGCTTATACCTTTCGGCTTTTGTGAATGTTGCTGATATTAACATGGATGTACAAATACCAATTTGAGTCCCTGCTTCCAGTTCTTTTGGATTTATACCCAGAAATGGAATTGCTGGATTATATAGTAATTATATGTTTAAGTTTTTGAGGAATTATACTGTTTTCCACAGTGGCTATACCATTTTACGTTTCCACTAGAAATGCATGAGAGTTCTAATTTCCTCACATCGTTGCCAATTGTTATTTTTTTAAATACATTTTATTGATTATGCCATTACAGTTGTCCCATTCCCCCCCTTCATTCTCCTCCACCCTACAAACCCCTCCTATCCACATTCCCCCCCTATTAGTTTATGTCCATGTGCCATAAGTTCTTTAGCTTCTACATTTCCCACACTACTTTTGCCCTCCTCCTGTCTGTTTTCTCCCCACTATTTATGCTACTTATTCTCTGGACCTTTTCCCTCTCTCTCCTCCTCCCACTCCCCTGTTGATAACTTTCCGTGTGATCTCCATTTCTGTGGCTCCCCTCCTATTTTAGGTGTCTGCTTAGTTTGCTTTTGTTTTAGGATTGGTTGTTAATAACTGTGAGTTTGTTGTCCTTCCACTGTTCATATTTTTTATCTTTTTCTTAGATAAGTCCCTTTAACATTTCATATAATAAGGGCTTGGTGATGATGAGCTTCTTGAATTTGATCTTATCTGGGAAGCGCTTTATCTGCCCTTCCATTCTGAATGAAAGCTTTTGCTAGATAGAGCAATCTGGGATGTAGGTCCTTGCCTTTCATGACTTGGAATACTTCTTTCCAGCCCCTTCTTGCCTGTAAGGTGTCTTTTGAGAAATCTGCTGACAGTCTGATGGGTACTCCTTTGTAGGTGACTGTCCCCTTATCTCTTGCTGCTTCTAGGATTCTCTCCTTCATTTGAATCTTGGCTAATGTAATGATGATGTGCCTTGGTTTGTTCCTCCTTGAGTCTACCTTCTTTGGGACCCTCAGAGCTCCTGGACTTCCTGGAAGTCTATTTCCTTTGCCAGATTGGGGAAGTTCTCCTTTACTATTTGTTCAAATAAGTTTTCCACTTGTTGCTCTTCTTCTTCCCCTTCTGGTACCCCTATAATTTGGATGTTGGAACATTTAAAGATGTCCTGGAAGTTCCTAAGCCTCTCCTTATTTTTTTTGAATTCTTGTTTCTTTCTTCCTTCTCATCCACTCCATTGATTTGAGTCCCAGTTTTCGTTCTATCACTATGTGTTCCCTATGCATTTTCCTTCATTTCACTTAGTGTAGCTTTCATTTTTTCATCTAATTTGCCACCAAAATCAACGAGTTCTGTGAGCATCCTGATCACCAATGGTTTGAACTGTGCATTTGATAGGTTGGCTGTTTCTTGGTCGCTTAAAAGTATTGTGTCTGGGGCTTTGATTTGTTCTTCTGTTTGAGCCATTTTTGGTCAGGTTGCACCAGTTATGTATGAGGGTTGGGGCCTCAGGTGTTCACCGGGGTGGGGCAACCCAGTTGCTGGGTTGTGATGCTGTATGTGGGGGCAAGGTCAGAGAGGGAGCAATGGCACTTACTTGTTCCACTCTCTGTCAAATTTCAGTTCCCTGTGCCACTTCCCACAAGCAAATTAAGCCCTTCTGGTGCTGGTTCCTGGGTGGGTGGGCTTGTGTACATTCTAGGACCCTGTGGGTCTCTCCAACGAACTCTCTTATGAGGCTGGGAGTCTCTCCTGGCACCTTTTTAATTGGTGCTTTAAGGCTTTATTTTCCGTTGCTGGGGCCCTGGGTTGCGCGGTCTCACTGCCCGTTTTTGCCTAGTTTATCCGTGTGAATTTGTGACCGTGGTCAGCCATCCGCCTTGCGTGCTCTGCTCCTTTCCTCTGTGCATCCCGGGGTCTGCTAGCCCCATGCCGACTGCGCTCCTGGGTCTAGCAGCCACCACCTTTTCCTGTCATGATCCCTCTCCGCCGGCTGCTGCTCCATCGGCCTTCGACTGTGGTTGTTGGATTTCTGTACAGTTCAGTTTTTTGTCGGTTCTTATTGTGTTTTTGTTTCTAAATCATTGTTCTTAATTTTGGTTGTGTGAGGAGGCACAGTGTTTCTACCTATGGCTCCATCTTGGCCAGAAGTCCTGTTATTTTCTGTTTTCGATGACAGCCATCTTAACGGGTGTGAAGTGGTATCTCACTGTGGTTTTGATTTGCTTTCTATAATGGCTAGTGGTGTTGAGCATGTTATCCTGTGATTATTGGCCATGTGTGTGTCTTCCTAGGAGAATTGATTATTCAAGTGCTTTGCCCATTTTAAAATCAGGGTATTTGTTGTTGTTGTTGAGTTGTAGGAGTTGTTTATCTATTCCAGATATCAGTCACTTATCAGACAAATGCTTTGCAAATATTTTCTCTCTTTTCATGGGTTGCCTTTCATTCTGTTGAGTGTCCTTTGATGCACAACAGTTTTTAGTTTTTATGTAGTTCAATTTATCTTTTGTTGTTGTTGTTGTTGCCTGTGCTTTGGTGTCATATACAAGAAATTATTGTCAAATCCAGTGACATAAATCTTTTACCCTATATTTTTTCAAGAGTTTTACAATTTTAACTCTTCCATTAAGACTTTGATCCATGTATTGCATATGTGTTTTGATATTTCAATTTTTAGTGTTTCTATTTTGGCAAATTCATTCTTGAAAGGTCTTTTTTTAATCTATGTTAAGTATAATTATAGATAATGAAGCTTCTCCTTTACTCCTTTTATTTCTTCATCTTTGATTTTACTCCTGGAATCAAAAGAAGAGACAAGTAGCTTCTAGAACTGTGAAGAGATTGTATCAGACTCATCCGTAAACCTTAAAATTCCTGCATATTTAAGTTGGTTATCAATAAGGATTATCTACTAGTGACTTTTAATTGAACCAAAGTGTTCCTAATCAGACTCTGTTAAAATTTTTTACCAAAACTTGACCATGAAGGAATAGGGAGTAGATTTCTGAAAGAGATTAACAGTTGATATGAATTTTTAGATTTACTTGATAAAAGAGTGGGATAACTTTATCTTGGCTACATTTAATTAGCAAGGAGATTGACTTGCAAATTTAATTGTTTTTATATTTTTGAAAAATAAAAATAATAATAAAATAATTTTTTTAAGGTCTATAGAAGAAAGCTTTAATTTGTCAGATGAAAGCTGTGGTCCTAACCCAGGAATTGTGAGAAAAAAGAAGATTGCAATTGGAGTAATCTTTTCATTGTCCAAAGATGAAGATGAAAATAACAAATTTAATGAATTTTTTTTTTCACATTTTCCTCTTTTTGAAAGCCACATGAACAAACTAAAGAGTGCAATAGAACAGGTAAGCATAGTCATGTTGTTGGTTAGTTTTATATCCCTTATTTTCTTTGAATCTTATTTTATTGTTTAAGCATTATGTTTGTTTATTTGACACAAAAATTAATAGGTACTGTGCAGGTACCCTGCAAAAGTGCTCTGCGAGATGAAAAATAAACATCAACTCTTTAACGAGCTTACTGGCTAATAAAAGATCAATAAATAAATATTTGAGGGCCCATAATGTGTCAGGCACTATTATAGAATCTAAAGATAAGATGTGAAAAAAGTAACATTCTTGACCTCATGGGACAACAGATAACCAAATGAATATATAAGCTCTTAGATGGAAATAAATGAGTTGGAGAAAAATAAAACAGAATAGGGTTGGTAAGGAACGATGGATGGAAGGATTGGTATTTTTAAAAAATATTTTATTTATTTATTTTTAGAGAGTGGGGATGGGAAGGAGAAAGAGTGGGGGAGAAACATCAGTGTGTGGTTGCCTTTCATGTGTCCTCTACTGGGGACCTGGCCTGCAACCCAGGCATGTGCCCTGACTGGGAATCGAATCAGGAACCCTTTGCTTCACAAACCCATGCTCAATCCACTGAGCCACACCAGACGGGGTAGGATTGGTCATTTTTATTGGCTAGTCTGGAAGGCTTCTGACAAAATGACATGTGGTTCATAGATATGAAGGAAGTGAGCTACAACTACCTGCGAGAAGAATGTTCTAGGCAGGGGCAAAAGTCCTGTGTTAGGAGTAAGCCTGATACTTGAGCAACAGGAAGGAGGTCAAAGAAGCTGGGTTCAAAATGAGAGACAATAATATCAGGTCTTAAAGGGACAGCATTGTAAGAGCATTGGCATTTACTCTTAAGAAAGATTGGAGACCATCAGAGGGGTTTGAATGGAGGAATAACATTATTTATGAAGATTATTCTTAATGCTGGTGGAGAATAGATTTCAAGAGTAAAGGAGGATTTTTAGAACCATTTATGAGGCTATTGGGATAATCTGGGTGAGAGGTGATAGATATTCAAACCAGTTTCGTGGTGGAATTGGTGAGAAGTGGTTGGATTCTGGATATATTTTGAAAATAGTACTAATGAAATTAGCTGATGGACTGACTTGGGGTATGAGGGAAAGAACAATACAGGTTGACTCAAGAATTTTTCTTTGAGCAGTAAGAAGGATGGATTTGCCAGTACTAAAGTGGGGAAACTACAGCTGGAACAGGTTTGGTGGATTGAGGTCAGGGGTTTGTTTGAGATGCCTCCTGGACATCCAAGTGGTTTTTATGAGTCTAGAATTTAGGGGAGATTTCTAGGCTGGACAGTCACCAGTGTAGAGATGGTATTTAGAGCCATGACACTGATTGAGGTAGAGAAGAGGGGAGCAGATAGAGATCCTAGGCCTGATGTGTAGAGCATTTCAGCAGTTAAAATTTAAAGAGGAGACTGAGAATTGGCCATTCAAGTAGGTAGGAAAAAAGAGAATACTTTTTGAGGGGATCCAAGTGAAAAAAGTGTTTTAAGAAGGTACAAGTGATCAATTGCTATTGATAATGTATATAATAAATTTACATAAAATAGGAAAATTGTGAATATAAGAGAACATAAGGATAACTGAAAAAGATATAACAAGCCAAGATTTTTTTTAGGAGTTCATAGGAAAGAAAAGTGACTTCCTGTTGGGAAGATATTTTATTCGGACTGCACTATAAAGGATGTGTAGGATTTTTTTAACATAAAAATGAAAATTGAACGTAGCAAAAGAGCAAGAAAAAATTGATATCCTTGCCACCCAAAGATAATTCATCAACACTTTGCTATGAGTCTTGTCCAGGCCTTTTCTATGCATATAGTACCTTTACTTGATTGGGATTGTGCTGTGTCTATAGTGCTTTAATGATATGCCTATTTTTAAAAACTCTTGTAACATATACATTTCTCATATCATGATAAATACTTTTTAATTATATTTTAGTTACTTTTCTTAGTGACAGTTTTTCTATTAGGCCATTTCTACTTTTTCACAATCATAGCTGCAATGTAGTTAACATATTGGTGAATTTTCCAGATTTTTTTAAAAGAAATGTTCAGAAATTGAACCAGTGAGTCAAGGGGTATAAGTAAAGTTCTTTACCTCTGTGACAGAATGCAAAGAGGGGCTAGAAGAGTTAATGGGCACAGTTCTCAAAGAATCTAGAGTTCTTGTGAGAAGTTTGACTTTGTTTTTAAGGCTGTGTCCAAATTATGATTTAAGAAGGTTAATTTGACACCATGTTTAAAAGTATCTAGAGTAAGAAGAGGCTAGAGATGGGAAGACCAATTAGAATGGTCTGGAAAGCAGAGGATGCATTTCAGGAACTTAGTAGTGACTAAGAATCATCCGCCTCTAGTAAAGATAATGATGTTAGTTATTCACATTAAATCAGTCAAAACACAAGTAGATCATTCACAGCAATTTTTTTTTTTAACAGAACAAGTAAAGAAAGGCCATTTTCACTTTTTCAGAAGTTAGACACTGGTGACATTTTCTTCAGTTGGCTACTATCCCTTTTTGTAGTGTGTTGTTGCCAAAATCAGTATGCATAATATTTAGCTGTGGGGCAAGTGTTTTCAAGCTTTGTATAAAACTTGAAATACAGCCCTGGCTGGTGGAGCTCAGTGGATTGAGCACGGGCCTGTGAACCAAAAGATCGCGGTTTGATTTCCTGTCAGGACATGTGCCTGGGTTGCAGGCCAGTTCCCAGCAGGGGCTGCATGATAAGCAACCATACATTGATATTTCTCTCCCTCTCTCCTTCCCTTCCCTTCTAAAGATAAATAAATAAAAATATTTTTAAATATATATTAAAAAACTTGAAATACAGTATTTAGGCACTATAAAAATCATTAAACATGATTTTTCAAATGTTTAAATGCTTTGACCATCTGTAATCTAAAGGATACAAACTTATAGATATCTGGGTATTTGTTCAAGTTTAACATCTCATTTCTTATCAAAGCTGAATGATAAAGGTGAGTGAAAGAATACTTTTACATAAGTGTATGGAGTGTAATTATAAAAGTTATACAGTTGCTAATTAATGGTAAAATATAATAAACACTAGACCATTCAAAAAGGTTTTCTTCTAGGGCCAGTTTACAAACTGTCAACTTTTTTTTTTTTTTTTTTTTTTAATGAAGAGCTGTGGACTTGTTTCTGGGCACCTTGGAATTTTTTTGAAGTATTGCTACCTTTCAGATCTATAACTTAATTAACCATTGTTATTGCTGGTAAAATTAAGGAAGAACGCTGCTCAATTGTAGCTAAAAAATTTACTTCTTCATAAATTAGGGGTATTATCAACACTTTATAAAAAACATAAGTTTCACTTATATCCTGTGAAGCTTTTTGAGGTATATGAACATGATTTCTGGCCTGAAGTTGTCTGACCTTCTCATAATTATATATTTAAAATATTAAAAAAAATAATTTGTAATTACATAAATAGTGCAGAATTACATTCTCTTTTAAAAATCTACAAAATTATGCAGTTTTTCTTGTCTTTTTTAGCCTAATTCTGATCCCCTTCCTTTCTACTTAAAGCAAGGGGTTTCAACCTTGGCTAAATGTTTTAAAGAAAGCAGATACTACTAATAACTTGATCTCTTTCAGTAGAATTTTTATGTTTCAGATCTTAAGTAAAGATTCCTTAACAGAACCATTATTTGTGAAATATTAGAGGAAACTACGAGCTGTTGTTACTGAGTTATCATTACATCTTGTTCAATTTGGGGGAAAAAGTTTTAGGTAACCCAGAAACTGTCAACATCAGTTTTCTTTGTGTGTTGACATTCTGTGGTTCGACATTTACAATAAAAGATTTAACACTTGAAAAATTTGAATTTTATTGTAATCAATAATCTTAGTGCATCAAAGAAAACCACTATAAATATGTATGTCTCCTTTATATCTTCCTAAATAAGAATGGTGGCTGAGGGTTGTGATAATATGTGACTTTGTATTTCATTTTTCTTTTCATATTTTTCCCATTATCAGTACAAGAATTAACTCTCTGATTGCTTTCAAGGCTATGAAAATGAGCCGGAGATCAGTTGATGCCAGTCAGAGGAGTTTGGCTTATAATCGAATAGTCGATGCCCTAAATGAATTCAGGTACATATTCTTCACCTTTTCATAATATACACTTGTTTTGCAGTACACACAGATTTATTTATTTTTTTTAACTTATTCTGACAAAATTTTGCTCTTTTCTTTGTTCCATAATCAAACAGAGGTGTAATTCAGTAGCCCATTGGCTCCTATGTTATTTAATATTAAATGTGCTTGGGATTCAGGCACATTTGGGAGCCATCAGTTGTGTGATATTTACCATTGGACCAATAGACAAGCAAATATGACCACAAGAAATCCTTTATTCTAGCAAAAATGTGGTTTTTTTCTCCTTTGGGCTCCTAGATGTAGGGACTAGTTAAATGTTAATTAACTAGTGATAGTAAACACTAGTTAGCAAATAGTTTTGCTTTGGCCAGTATTTTCTTGCATAACAAAGTTTGTGCCTAAAGCTCCAACAACTGCTGTCACTGTGCTCTCGGTATGGCAGGCAAACATACAACATATGAACTTCGGTTGGGAATCACATAGAATGACTGATGTGCGTCTCTTTCTGAGAGTCACTTCAGATGTACTGCATCCTCTCAGTCTTTCCCTCTTTTAGACTGGGAAGATAGTATAGACTTCTTGCTTATTTGCCTAAAAGAATCCTGCAATGTTTCTGCGTTTTATGTTCTGCAGTATTACAAGGTAATGAATCTTTGCCCTTGAACTTGGAGTTTATACTTATATTATTGGGTTACAGTTTCTTTTCTGTAGTCACAAGCTTTGTGGCGGAAGGCCAAGAGTCCCTATTTGAGCTCTGAGGAAACAATGTCATAATAGATCCAGCTGAGGTTACCAGAATAGTAAATATTGTCATAAGACTCATTTGTAGTAGAATACTGATCTTGCTCTAAGGTTGTAAACAATATTTTTTATAAACAGTTTAATTAAATACTTGCTTTGGTAATAAGGTAGTATGAATGCCTAGCCTTATAATTTTAAGATAACTGAGAATTTACAACATGTATGAGTTATAAAATCATCGAAAATGTATATCATGTTTATGTACCTTACCTTTTGCAATAGTGTGAAAATCTGAAAGGCTATGTAAGTCAGTTAAGCATTCTTATAATATCTTAAAAATAGTTTATACATTCATAATTTTTACTAAGAAAGCTCTCTGTAGAAGTACTTTGATATGTACAGTTGATCCTCATTATTTACAGATTCGGTATTTGTGAATTCAGCTACTTGCTAAAGTTTATAACCCTAAAATAAACTCTCATTGCTTTTAGGATCATTTGTGGACATGCACAGAGCAGTGAAAAATTTGAGTGGCCTTACCACTCATTCCCAGATGAGGTTGAACAAGACAATACTCTGCCGTCTTATCTCAGCTCTCATTTCTAAACAAGTGTCCTTTTAGACATCTATATATTGCCAGTTTGTTTTTGCGTTTTGTCCTTTTTGTTAATGGTTTTGCTATAAAATGGCCCTCAAGCATAGTGCTGAAATGCTGACCAGTAATCCTAAGTGCAAGAAGGCTGTGATGTGCCTTATAGAGAAAATACATGTGTTAGGTAAACTTCACTCAGGCATGAGTGTTAGTGCTGTTGGCTGTGAATTTAGTGTTAATAAATCAACAGTATATTAAATCATAAGCAGTTTATATGTAGAAACTCACATGGGACAAAATTATGTATTGATGGGTTGACAAAAATGTGACCAGAGGCTCACAGGAACCTTAACCCCGCATTTCCCCTAGGTACAGAGACTCAGTGGATTCAGTGTTCACACCAACTTTGTAGAACATTACTGCAAATAATAAGACTATTATACTTAATTTTAAAGCTAAGTGGTTATTAAAAATTAACAGATAATTTTTAGAGCAGGTAACTGTTTGAGACAAGATCATGAATTTTGGGTAGTTGAGAAGAGGAAGGAAATGATTCATGTGTATACGGAAGTCTTGAAACCTAGAGAAGCAGGAAGTATGTTTTAGGTAACATAGCTTCCTCCCAAAGACAAGGTCCTTGGATTTTTAGCTAGCTTACTGCATAACAAAGAAAACTAAATCATGTCCAAGTTTCCCTTACAACTAAAGGAGTCTTTCATTCTCTAAGGATAGACCAGGAAAAAAAAAAAAGGAGTCAGGTGATTGGAAATAGTTGGCTTGCCCTTCTTACTCCTGAAGGGTAGGTCGTAATCATCAGCAGGTGGGAAAAGGACCATTACTTCTAGATCACTGATGAGAACATTGAGTTGTATATAGTGAGAAGCACTACTGATACTTAATTTCTTTGCCTTCCTTGCACCCGATACACCCCGAGGTCATAGTACATATTCTTAAACACCAAAACACGAAAGGTAATGTTCCCAGTGAACCACTATACTACTACTAGTGATCTGGCCCTGGCCCATGACACATAAGCTTGCAGTAGACACTAATATGCTGAAGCAGTTCATGAAAAAATGAACTGATCAGTTTATTCATTTACTTATACAGTGTTTCTTTTCATCAAAAAGTATGTTCACATGGTTAAGAACAAAAAATGCATTACTGAAAGGTCTACCCTATCCAAGCTCTCCTATCCCCTTAACTACTTCTTTTGTTATTTATCTGTATGTTATTAAACAGTACCCTTAATGCAGCTATATCTTAATTTATTAATTTTAAAGTATACTTTCTGCATGAGTTTATACTTCCCCTCAGTCCTTCAGCCTTTCAGTTTAGTTTTAGCACTAGCTTGTTTTTCTGGCTTGTAAATACTCTACTTTGATAGTTTATTTTCCTCTGTTTTCTGTCTTAAATTTTGTTTGTTAGAAACTGGCACTCCTGGACTCATCTTTTGTGTCTCTATCATGTTTTTTTTTTAATGTATTGTTTTCTATTTTCCCTGGAGTCATTTTGTGTGTGAGTGGGTGTATGTTTCTTTTTGTTTGTATCCTTCTTTCCTTGAAGGCTTTCCCTATATATCAGTATTTTGGTTGCTCATTTATAGTTGAGTGTGAAGCACCAAAATATAGGTTGAGAGCTCTCTGCATGAATCAGGCACAGACAGGATAACTTCAGGGCAGTGTTGCTGAGCCATTTTTTCTTAAAACTCCCTGAGGGAGCATATTTAGACATTTTCTCCTCTAATTGCCCCTTCCCCAGTGAAATTTTAACCCCACAAAATTTACTGTCTCTCTGTTTGCATACTGTGAAATACTAAGTGTCAGGAAGGGTTTTGGGATATCAGTTCTCTGGGCTAGGTAGGCAATTGCTACATCTGCTTTCCTATCTGCAGTCATTCTATGGGGAAAGTAGGGTGGAGATAAGAGTCACCAACCACTTAGGGACTTCGAAGTAGTCTCCTAGTTTGCAGTTCTATAACTGCTGTCCTCTACTTTCCCAGACATTTGTAAGTCCCAAGGGTCTTCTTTTTCTCTCAGTGAGGCAGATTCAGTCCTCTTGGTCTGTGCCCGTCTGTGTGAGCGCTGTAACCTATTTCTTCCTTTACCCTACCACTTCGGGTAACATTCTTCTTTGTGTTTTATCTTCTAGAATTCTGTTAAATCTGTCGTTTTAATTTTCACAAAGGTTTCCCTTCAGTTCTATTTGTTGTAGAGATTTATTTGTTTTCAAATCCTTAAGTGGTGCTCACTTGGGCATTAGAACTGAAAGGGGATTAGCATTTATGCTCTGTTTTTCATCCTATCTGGACATCCCTTAATAGGCTTTAAAAATCAGCATTTCACCTATCCCTAGTTTATAGTTTTGTATTTTTCTCTGTAAAGTACCTTTAATTTTGTTCCATTATTTTTTTTAAGTTCCCAGCAGTGATTTTATGTCCTACCAAGAACTCATTAACCTATATTTGTCACTTCTATTTGTAGTAATATATCATGTTCATATTGGGTCAAGATTCAGTGAAACTTGTTTAGGCACAAGAATTCTTTTCATTTTTTGGATTCTATGTTTTAAAGAATTATACTGAGGTGTGGATATTAGCACTTGTGGAGAGAGACCAATTAGTTAGTTAAGGCCCAACTTTGCAGGAGTTGCTTAGTGTGGTGAGAGTATAGGACTTCGCCGAATAGGTACTAATGTAACAGGAAAATAATTGATATCTTAAAGGTGTTCTTGAAGCCTTCGGAGAGAGTGAGTGCAAGTCATGAGACTATCGATTGCCTAAATAAATGAAATAGCCAGAAGAGTACTATCACAATTGTTAAATAATCCTTTCTTGTGTTGATTCATGGAAAACTTCAAAAGGTTGGGAATCATTGCATAGCATGCCATCTGTAATGTCCTCATCGTCCTTCAGTACTTTACTATAATGTCTCAGCGTAGGGAACAAAATATTGCATAAACTGTTGTTTTAAGTGGGTATATGGATATGCTGTTATCCCATTTAGAATATTTATCTTTTCTATGTTGGTTATTTGCAGTATATTTAAATACAGCTTATACCTTAGAAATGTAGAACTGGAAGGGGCTTTAGAAATCATTTAGTCCTATCCTTTTATTCTACAGGTGGTGGAAACTGATGCTTAAAGTAGGGAAATAATTTACCCTAGGGCACACCTTCACTGGGGGCAAAGCCAGTGCCATAACCAACATATTTTATGTTTATGTACAGAGCATTTTCCATGGTACTATGCTGATGATGGTGAAGAACCAACTGGATTCATTGTCTCCTATCAAAAGCTTTAATAATCTAGGTGTGAGGCCCAAGTTAGTAAGATAAAAAGATAACTTTATTTTAAGGTATGTGATTCTGTGAACTATGAATTTCATAATGTGTTTTCCTCTTTTTAGGACAACAATTTGTAATCTTTACACAATGCCGCGAATTGGAGAGCCTGTCTGGCTTACAATGATGTCAGGGATTCCAGAAAAGAACCACCTTTGCCATCGATTCATGAAGGAGTTCACTTTTCTAATGGAAAATGCTTCAAAAAATCAGTATGCCTTACTTTATTTATTTCTCTGAGCTAACTTAAATATCTTAGCTATTATTTACTATAACTAGATATGAATTGTGATCAAAATCAATTACAAAGGAAAGGAATGAACTATTATCTTTAACTTTTTGATATTATTAATAAAACAAAATTCTAAAAGGTCATTAAAATATAGGTTATGGAAGGCCACAAAACTCTGTGAATGAGAAACAGTAAGAATATCTATGTATGAAATTAAAATTCCTGACTCTTCCAGAACTCTGAGGTCTCCCATTTTTTGTGAACTATATCCACTTTTTGCTGTTTCATTTCATAGAAAAGAAATTTTAAAATACACATTTTTAATGTGATACTGTTTTTTTCTCATCAAATTTCCAGAATTCAGATGAGTTATTCAGATATTTTTATTGTCTTTGATGGTAGATTGCATAATACTTTCCTTCAATTTCTCATTTAGTAATTCGGAAATGCATACACCTCCTTGTCACTTTGTTAAATTGCACAAATTAATGAAAAGAAGCCATCATTTTTTAAGTAAAGCTACACTTTTGTTTTATAATTGCATTCAGAAATAACTCCTTGTGAATGCTGTCTTTATTTTAAGGATTTTCTTTGACTCCTACACACTGAAAAATGAACTTTCACTTTCATTCCAGTGATATGTCTATCCTTTCTTCTTTCCTCTCTTTTTTAAAATCCTGTTTGGCCACATGAGAATATGTGCTCTTTTTGCTTTATTCTGTCACTGTATTTTATGTGAGGTTTCGCAAAGGCAGATTGGAATTTGATAGGATTCGTTTCATTTTCAGATTCTTGCCAGCACTCATTACTGCAGTTTTGACCAATCATCTTGCCTGGGTTCCAACAGTCATGCCAAATGGACAACCACCTATAAAAATATTTTTAGAAAAACATTCCTCTCAAAGTGTGGACATGTTGGCGAAGACTCATCCATATAACCCACTTTGGGCACAATTAGGTATGTAGTCTGATACTCCTACATTATACATTATATTTAGAGTTTTGTGTAAGTGTCTGGAGTTATTTTATAGCCAAAAAAAGAAGTAGTAGTAGTAAATACTCTTTTACCTCCTCCATTCTGAAGTACCTGTTCGTGACTTGTTCTGTCACGTCTGCTAGGTTGTCTTATCCTCCCCCCGCCCATCTTATGTGTATATTCCTTATAGATGGAGAGCTGCGGCTAGAACAAAAGGAACAGGGTGGTGGCTGGTTCATTAGCAACTTCAGGGTCTTCAGGGGGGTTTGTGGTAGGTCCTTTGCCCAGCAAGAATGAATCAACAAAGTCACCCGTGACAGCTAGGATAAATCTGGATGACTAAAAAGCAGATGAGGTTTGCATTGGTCCACTTTTATTTGTTTGTCGAGTAATTTTGAAAAATAATTCCCTTTGTGCTAGACCCTGGTGAATAAATGGTTAATAGAGAGGAGAGGGGATAATTGATGAGTAGACAGTCATTAGGAAGGCAGTGTTGCATGTTGCTTAAAAGCTACAGGCTGTGCATTCAGGCCGACTGCATTTGAACCACAATTCCCTTATTTACAAAGTTAGGATAATAATAGGTAGTCCATACTTCATTGTGAAAATTAGATGAGATAATACATGTAAAGTGCTTAGGACAGTGTTGGGTAATGTACCTGCTGTTAGTCTTACCCTTACTCTATTACTGTTAGGTAATGGGGGAGGAATATGAGAGCATTTTGGTGACCTGGTAGAAACTTCTCTTAGGTTGTGCTGGTGAGTGAGTTTGCCTGGCAGATTGTCATGTGGTTTATTAATTCAGGTAACCAACCTCCCCCTTTCCCTCTTTCCTTCCTCCCTCCTACCTTCCTCTCTCCCTCCTACTCTCCTCTCTCTTCCCTCTTTCCCCCTTTCTGCTCTTCCTCCTTTCCTTTTTCCTATTGCTTTAGAATAATTCATATATAGTAAACACATATATAAAGTATACAATTTTGTAAGTTTAGATGTATATATCAAAGTATAATGCCTCTGAAACCATCCCCAGCATCAAGTTGGTTAACATATCCTTCACTTTCAAAGTTATCTCATGCCCTCCCTCTGCTCTTCCCCACTCACTGTGTTTACCATCCCATATACCCAGGCAGCCACTTTCCGTCACTGCAAGGTCCAGAAAGCCACCTGTCATACCAAAGCAGTTTCAATTAATTAGTGGGAACCTTGGGAATAGTTTTGAACAGTGGCACGATGGTATTAGGGTTAGTGTCTTACCCAAAAAAGAAAATTTATCATAATACTGACTGTAGCATACCTTTTATTTGAGACTTATATGTGTTTGTTCCTTTGAAAAGTGTGTTTTATAAAGTATAAAGAGGTTTTTAAATCTGTATACTGACAATGTGCAAAATCAAATTCAATTTATTTTTTTAAATTTTTTTATTGATCGTGCTGTTACAGTTGTTCTATTCCCCCTTTCATTCCCCTCCACCCTACCCCCCCCCCCGTCCCCACCATTACCCCTCCTTTGGTTTATGTCCATGTGTCTCAAGTTCTTTAGATTCTATATTTCCCATGCTATTCTTGCCCCCCATCTATTTTCTATCTACTGTCTATGCTACTTATTTTCTATACCTTCTCCCCTCTTCTCCTCCTCCCACTCCCCTGTTGCTAACCCTCCCTGAGATCTTCATTTCTATGTTTCCACTCCTGATCTAGCTGTCCTTTTAGTTCGCTTTCGTTTTAGGTGTGGTTGTTAATAACTGTGAGTTTGTTGTTCTTTCACTGTTCATGTTTCTTAACTTCTTTTTCTTAGATAAGTCCCTTTAACATTTCATATAATAAGGGCTTGGTGATGATGAACTCCTTGAATTTAATCTTATCTGAGAAGCACTTTATCTGTCCTTCCATTCTAAATGAAAGTTTTGCTGGATAGAGCAATCTTGGTTGTAGGTCTTTGGATTTCATGACTTGGAATACCTCTTTCCAGCCCCTTCTTGCCTGTAAGGTGTCTTTTGAGAAATCCGCTGACAGTCTGATGGGGACTCCTTTGTAGGTGACTGTCCCCTTAGCTCTTGCTGCTTCTAGGATTCTCTCCTTCATTTTAATTTTGGCTAATTTAATTACGATGTGCCTTGGTGTGTTCCTTCTTGGGTGCAACTTCTTTGGGACTCTCTGAGCTTCCTGGATTTCCTGGAAGTCTATTTCCTTTGCCAGATTGGGGAAATTCTCCTTTATTATTTGTTCATATAAGTTTTCCACTGGTGGCTGTGCCTTTTCCCTTTCTGGTACCCCTATAATTCTGATGTTGGAGCGTTTAAAGATGTCCTGGAGGTTCCTAAGACTCCTCATTTCTTTGAATTCTTGCTTCTACACTCTTTTCTGTTTGGCCTTTATTTGCTTTCTTCTGGTCCACTCCATTGATTTGAGTCCCAGTTTCCTTTTCATTGCTATTGGTGCCCTGTGCAATTCCATTCATTTCAATTAGTTTTGCCTTCATATGTTTGTCTAATTTGTGGGTATAATCAACCAGTTCTGTGAGGATCCTGATTACCAGTGTTTTAAACTGAGAGTTTTGCTATTTCTTCATCGCTTAGATCTGTAGGCTCTGGGGCTTTGAGATCTTCCTGCGCCATTTTTGGTCTGTTCTGGCCCTTTAAGTGTGAGAAGCGGCGCCTTGGACTCCCAGGTTGCTGGGTTGTGAGGCTGTATGTGGGGGCGTGGTCAGAGCGGGGAAATGGCGACCTCCTCTGCTGTTTCACACCAGTGGGTGAGGAGTAGAGCCTTAGGTGGTTCACCAGGGCCGGGCCACTCAGAGTCGCTGGGTTATGACGCTGTATGTGGAGGTGGGGTCAGAGCAGGGAAATGGTGGCACCCTCCACTGCCACTTGCCGCTGGACCTGCCGGCCCGGTCCAACCGCCCACTCCCTCGCCTGTCCGCCTGCGCACAAATGTGTGACCACAGTCAACACGCAGCACCGCTCCCCCGCTGTCTCCCCCGTGGTTGCTCGCCTGGTCGCTCGCTCAGTCGCTCACTAGGTCCAACCCTGCGCCTGGATTCCGCTTACCTGAGTCTGTCTGAGGGAGTCCTCCTGTGCAACCCTGATTCACCAGCCGCTGGTTTCACCCCTTACTGGTCAGGCTGAAGAATTTGTTGTTAACGGACTTCCAAAAAGTTCAATTTTCCGTGTTCTGGCTGTGTTTTCTGTTGCTAATATTTACTTGTCTCTAAACTTGGTTGTGTGAGAAGGCACGGTACATCCACCTATGCCTCCATCTTGGCGGAAGTCTGAATTCAATTTAAAATAATGAATTTAAATTCTCCATTTTTAAGTGTTTTGGCATCTTTTTGATTTAATTTCAGCTGTGACATAAATATAAAAGTGGCATTGATAGCTCTTAGTTATCCCTGCCCACTGTTTTTAATGTTAGTGGCTACTCATATCTAGTATGGACACAAGTGAAAATGAACCACATGGCTAAATGTGTTACCCTCTTTTTCCTCTTAGGACAGGTCTCACTCTTCATGACCTTTCTGGTGTATCCTGAGGACCCAGCCCTTGAGGGAATAGAAGGGCTTTTAAAACCATGGGCGTTGTGGGGTCCTGGCTAGGGTAGCAAAAGTTAATGTTTGTTATTACAGTTTAAATCAAGGAAGGTTCAGTGTGATGTGACTGCTCCAGTTCTGCTGCATTCCACTGTTGCTCCCAGATAACTGTGCTTCCTCCTCGCTGTGTTGGGTGCAGCTGCAGAATCTTTTTGCATGTAGTATTTCAGGCAGTACTTCTCCACCCAGATGGTGTGTTCTGTTTGGGTCTGGCACAGAAAAAATTATTGGTACAACTGACTTTTTGCTTGAGGTTTCAGAACAATAGCAACTTCCTAAGGAGGAAAGTAGAAAACCCCTCCATTCACCTTTTTCTTTGGTTTAGGCCATTCATCTCATCCTACTCACCTGAAAAATCATGTACTATTAAAGAACTAAGAATAAAACCGGAACCCTCATACAATAAGAGTAAGGTTTCCAGTAATTGAAAATAGCCTGCTTAGCTGCATGAGTAGAGACTGTGCCCATTAACTGATTTTTCCATTGCAGGGGACTTGTATGGCGCTATTGGCTCTCCTGTAAGGTTAGCAAGGACTGTGGTAGTTGGCAAACGTCAAGACATGGTTCAGAGGCTGCTTTATTTTCTTACTTATTTCATAAGATGTTCTGAACTTCAAGAAACTCATCTTTTAGAAAATGGAGAAGATGAAGCCATTGTTATGCCAGGCACAGTAATTACTACCACGTTAGAGAAAGGTGAAATTGAAGAATCTGAGTATGTGCTTGTTACAATGCACAGAAACAAAAGCAGTTTGCTCTTTAAAGAGTCAGAAGAAACAAGGACTCCTAATTGTAACTGTAAATATTGCAGTCATCCACTTCTTGGGCAAAATACAGAGAATGTTTCACAACAAGAGAGTGGAGATGTTCAAGACAGCTCTAAGGAGCTGCTAGGAATTGCAGATGAGTGCCAAATGATTTCTCCTTCTGACCACCAAGAAGAAAATGCTCTTGATGTTAAACAGTGCAGAGATAAATTAAGAACTTGCCTTGATACCAAGTTAGAGACAGTTGTTTGCACAGGATCTGCTCCAGTTGACAAATGTCCATTGTCGAAGTCATGCTTAGAGCCAGCAGAAGAAACATGGCAGAGTGATGAATTACTGGATTCCGGAAATCACACAAGTGAAGTGCTGAGAACCACAGGAATGACTGTGGAAAAAAAACCTCCAGATAAGCTTGTGACTGCTGCATTTTCTTGTGAGACAACCCAGACAAAGGTTACTTTCTTGATTGGGGATTCTATGTCACCTGACTCAGACACAGAACTCCGGAGTCAGGCTGTGGTGGATCAGATTAGTAGGCATCACACCAAACCATTGAAGGAAGAAAGAGGGGCTACTGATCAGCATCAAGAAACTAAACAAACAACTAAGGACCAATCTAAAGAGTCTGACATAGCAAACATGGTTTCTGGAGAGCCCTGTGAACTTCCCTGTTGGAATCATTCAGACCCAGAAAGCATGAGCTTGTTTGATGAATATTTCAATGATGATTCAATTGAAACCAGGACTATTGATGATATTCCAGTTAAAACCAGTACAGACAGTAAAGAACTCTGCTCTATGTTAGAGTTTTCAAAAAGACTGTATACAAAAAATAGCAAGCAGAACAATGAATTTTGTAAATGTGTAGAAACAGTTCACCAAGATTCATGTAAAACCTGCTATCCTCAGCAGGACCAAAGAGATACACTCTCCATTCTTGTCCCCCATGGGGATAAAGAGAATTCAGAGAAAAAAATAGCTGTAGGAAGCGAGTGGGACATTCCAAGAAATGAAAGTTCAGATAGTGCTCTTGGGGATAGTGAAAGTGAAGATACAGGTCATGATATGACTAGACAAGTAAGCAATTATTATGGAGGAGAGCAAGAAGATTGGGCAGAAGAAGATGAGATACCTTTTCCTGGGTAAGTACAAAGTTTTAGTCCTTACAGAAATATGTACTGTTCTTTTGTTTAGCCAGTCTTTGACGGTTGGTAGAAGCTAACGTAAAAGAAGAGATTATTTTCCTAGACAAATTCTCTCTTATTGTCACATCAGTATTTACAGTCAGATTGTACTACTCATATGAAAGATTAAGGGCTAAGCCCCATGGACATCCCAGAAAGGCTTTGTGAAGGCAGTGAAGTTACGTTGGTATGTAGGAGACTTCTTACTTTTTAGGAGTTTTCAAGCCATTTATGAGTAAATTATGTCCCCCAAAAGGAATAATACTGAGCTTGGAAACTAGGGAGAGGTAATCACTGGAAAAGGTAGGGAAATGGCTGTTACAAGTAAATTTGGCCAAGACTAAGAGGAAAACGAGCACTGTATATGAGTATTCTGGGTCAGGTATACAAGGAGAAGATTCATGCTTGAGGAAAGTTAAAAACCAAACTTTGGGTTGGTGAGATATTTAACTACTTTGTTTTGTATGATGGTTTTCCTAATCTGATTATATTAAGATATTTATATGTAAAAGGGATAGCATTGCTAAAATCTTTATGAATAATTTATGCTCATCGCATTAAAAGTTGTTTATCAGACCCTCTTCTTTAGATAAGGAGTAGTATTTTGTGGTCTGATTGAACACTTGAGCCAGTTTTTATATAAGAATGATTATACTCTAAGAATATTTTATAGAAAGTGATGGTATTAAGTATGGACTAGTAGAGTCCAAAATTCTTTTTATTGGTAAAATATGTTTATTACTAATCATATGTACCTTCTTTTGGGCCTTTCTTTTAGGTCAAAGTTAATTGAAGTTAGTGCTGTTCAACCTAACATCGCCAATTTTGGGAGGTCCTTGTTAGGTGGCTACTGTTCGTCGTATGTGCCTGACTTTGTTCTTCAAGGAATTGGTAGTGATGAGAGACTCCGTCAGTGTCTGCTATCAGATTTGTCCCATGCTGTGCAAGTGAGTGACCTTCACTGCTCCTGAGTTTATTTAGAATGAACTCTGTTAACTACTAGAATCCAGAATTGCCTTATTTTATAGTCACATTTCCCTATGTAATATAGTCATTGTTCTCAGAATCAATCACTTTATCTAATATCTGCATGTTTGTACCTATTATAAAAGTGGGTAGAGAGCATTCAAATATCCAAATGGAAATCTGAAATACAGAAAGCACTGTATGTATTCATGGATGTTTATCACTAGATTATTTATAATATCAAGACAATTGCCAATGCTTTAAATGTAAATGGAATTGTTTTCTTAATTCGTTTTCAGATTATGATTTGTTAGACTATGGAAGTACAGTTGATTTGTGTATATTGACCTTGTATCCTGATACCCTTCTGAATTCTTTTATTAGTTTTTGTAGTTTCTTTGTGGATTCCTTAGGATTTTTCTACATACAGGCTTATATCATCAGTAAATAGACAGTTTGACATCTTCTTTTATACTCTAGTTTCCTTTTGTTTCTTTTTCTTGCCTGATTGTAGGGCATAGAACCTCAGTACAACTATTACATAGAAGTGTTGAGAGTGGACATCCTTGTCTTCCTCCTATCTTAGAAAATGTTGAGTCTTTCATTGTTATGTATGATGTTAGTTGTAGGATTCTTACAGATGAGCAATGTATATGAGTATTCTGGGTCAGGTATACAAGGAAAAGATTCATACTTGAGAAAAGTTAGAAACCAAACCTTTAACAGGTGGAGAAGATTTCCTTCTTTCCCTATTTTTTCTATCTGTTTTGCGTTCCCTGCCCCCTACCACTTAAATTATGAATGGGTAGGGAATTCTGTCAGATACTTTTTTGGTGTCTGTTGAAACAATTGTGTGATTTTTCTTCTTCAAACTGTTAATGTGATAGATTACATAGATTGATTTTTAGATGTTAAAGCAACCTTTTGTGTTCCTAGAGAGGAAAGTCCCACTTAGTGGAATATAGTACTTTTTATATGTTGCTGGATTTGATTTACTAATAATTTGTTGTAGATTTTGGAGTCTATATTTATGAGAGTATTAGTCTATAGTTTTCTTGTGATGTCTCTGTCTAGCTTTAATATCAGAATAATACTTGCCGTATAGAATGATACAGAATGAGTTTGGAAGTACTTCTTCTTTCTTTCAAGATTTTCTCAAAGATTGGTATTATTTTTTTCTCTAAATGTTTAATAGAATTTACCAGTGAAGTTTCTGAGTCTAGGTGTTTAAAATGAGAGACTATCTTAAATTGCTAATTTAATTTCTTATTATAGATCTATTTTAATTTTCTTTTTCCTTCCTGATTCAATTTTGCTGATTTTTGTCTTTTCTAGAAATCAATCAGTTTCATTTAAGTAATCTTAATTTATTGAAATAAAATTGTTCATAGCATATACTAATCTTTTTAATTTCTATCAGGTCTCTCATTATGTCCCTTCTTTCATTCCTGATTTTTGTAATCTGTGTTTTTCCTTTTTTTCCTCCTGGCAAAGGCAGGGAATTTTCCAAAGAAGAGATCATTCATGCCTTGATTTCATTAGTAGATATTTTTGACCCATATGGATCAAATATCAGCAAGCTGTGGCTCATGGGGTAAATATGCCTGCTTTTTGTAAATAAAGGTTTATTGAAACATGACCACATCCATTTATTTATATTCTCTAGGACTGTTTTCCTGCCTCAACAACAAAACTGAGTCATTGAAAGAGTGATTGTATAGCCCCTACAGCCAAAAATATTTTCTGTCTGGCTCTTTACAGAATAGGTTTGCTGATTCCCATTGTAGCTTAAGATTTGTTTGTTGATCTTTTCAAGAAAACAGTTTTCATCTCAATAGATTTTTATTATCTAGTTTTGATATTTCATTGTTTTCTATCCTAATTGTATAATTGGGTTGACCAAAAAGTTTGTTTAGTTTTTTTTGTGTGATGGCTCTTAGTTGTATTTAACTTTATTCAAAACAGTTTTTCTCCCTTCCTTTCCCTCTCTCTTTTTAAAAATAAACAAAATCTTAAAAAAAAAAACATTTAAACCTTCTGTGCCAGTAGAAAGTTACTTAGAGTTATAAATCTTGGTGTTTTGTTACATAATAGGGAAATAATGCTATACCCAGCAAAACTTAGTCAAACTCATGTTCTTTCTATCTAAAGGACATATTGCTCAACCTTTTCACACCAATCAAATATTTACTGGCACACTGTGTTCTGAACATATTGCTAACACTTCAACGGATATATAGATGAAAAAGAAATAGTTGCTGACCTCATTGATTACTTAGCATTGGAGAAAATAAGGCAAGTACATGAATAAGTGTAGTACGACACATAAAAAAATAAATACTTGAAGAAAATAGAATAAGTCATTTAATGCTTCAGATGAAAGAATTTATATCAGTTGATGGTATTTGACCTTCAGGGTGAAGGAACTATTTCTGTTTTTTCAATTTTGTCTTCTCAGTGCCTGGCGTAGTGCTTAGTAAGTACTGGTTTAGGAAATCTCATATGGGCCCTTGTAATGCTCTCTGTTTCCCCTGTCTTTCCTTATGTCTGATGTTAGTCACTCAGTCCTTTTTTTCCCTGCATTTGTATCTATTACCTCGCACAGTGGTCTTTGGTGTTCTTTCTGAAAACCTGTCATTGAAAGAGTTCCTCTCTCCTATTGAAGACAAAGCATTCTGGTGCTAAGGGTTTCTACCTGCTAATTATTACAAGAGGAGAAGTAGTAGTAGTAATAATAATAATAACCATTTAGTATTCATTGTGGCCTTAGTATATACTAGACACCAAAATGTAATACCTCACTTAATCTTATAATAACCCCTTTTGGTACTTATGACCACCCCTGTATTTCATGTATGGCATGGAAAGGTTTTTAAGTTATTTAGATAGGGAATGACATAGCTAAAAGTCTGCATGTTCTTAAGCTGTGATCTTAGCCTCCTGTGTCATATTGTCTCTAAAATAGATGAACAAAAGTTACTGCAGATACAAATAAGTAAAATCAGCATCACAAAGCTTTCAAGACTTATGTTACTGTTGCTCTTGGAGTCTTTCCACTGTGGTGAAAAGGATGAGTTTTTATCTTCTGCCCTTCATTTCAGCAACTGGATTTTCTGTCTTTCCCTTTGATATTTTTATTTATAATAATTAAGATATTTATTATCAAAGCAGCATTACAGAAAAATGAAAAATGAAATACCAATCTTAATCTCAGCACTAACAGGCTGTTGAGTTTCTGATTAGTCATTTTTTCCTGTTCATATATAAGGTTTAGTTTATTTTTTTAATGGAGAATAACTTCTTTTATTTTTAGTACAGCATGCATTCAGTACTATTTTGTATTAGTTTTCAGGTGTATAGCATAGCAGATAGACATTCATATAGGTCTTTCCTCCAATAATTCAGGTGCCCACCTGACACCCTCGATAGTCGCTACAATATTGTTAATTATATTCCCTATGCTTTACCTTACATCCCCGTGACTATTTTGTAACTACCAATTAGTACTTTTTAATCCCATCACTTTATTTCACCCCACCTTCCCAACATCCCTCCCTTCTGGTCTCCATCAGTTTCTTCTCTGTATATATAAATCTGTTTTAAATAAGGTTTATTTTTAATGGTTTAAGTTATTATGTACTTAAAATGTATCATCACTACATATAACATGAGAAATATTTCTAATTTTCTTTCATGGGAAAACTTGTAGGGACCTTTTAATACATAATAATGAGAATGCTGCTTTTGAAGAAAGATATAATCTTACTCTTCTGAACTATATTAGTGGGGTGTTTCTTCTTTTTCTCCTAAGTTTCTGACATAGTGGAATTTTTTTACAACCAAATAAATATATATATTTATAAAGTGTTGAAATGCATAGAAAGTTAAACACAAATTTTTCTAAACCTGCTATTCAGTGGCAGCCATTCTTAATATAGAAACTTCTTGCAGTCATTATACAGTACGTGGCATTTCAGAAGACTGAGGCTTGGCCACCTATTACCTATATATCCTAAGACAAGACCCTTAATCTAATAGAGGCTGTGATTCTTTGGCTAATGAAAATAATACTGCTATTTATATAACAGAGTTACACTCTGTGGTGTTTTGTGTCTGTTATGCTCCCTATGCCTGGTATCTTTCTGTCACCATTCCTGCTCTGTTTGTATGCATGTATGTATGTACACATGCTATACACACTATATACATACATAAAATGGAGGCCATTTATATATACATACATTTTAATGCATACAAATATACACCTACATAGATAAAATGTATGCATGCCTATTGTAAGTATATACTCACTATACATGGTATTGTGTTCATATACCTACACACATGAATGTGGTATTATATTTACTGTTTTGAATTCTGCTTTTATCACTTAACAATTGATGTAAGAGAATTTCTTCATATCATTAATGTACTTTATGAACATTTTTAGTGTTCATTATTTCCTGGTTTTGTTACATGGTTTTTCTCATCGTTCTTCTGTCATTCAGCTTTATTTTTTTCCAGTTGTATTGATATATAAGTGACATACAACACAGTACTAGTTTAAGATGCATAACATTAATTTGATATGTAGATATTGTAAAATTATTACAACAGGAAGTTTAGTTAATATCCATTACCTCCCATAGTTACCATTCTTGTGATGCAAAGTTTTAAGATCTACTCTCTTAGCAACTTTTGAATATACAATACTATATTGTTTCAGTGTAGTCTTCATGCTGTGCATTACATCTCCAGAACTTATTTATCTTACCAGTAGAAGTTTGTACCTTTTGATCATATTCACTCATTTTTCTCTACCCCCTGCCCCACCACTGTCAACCACTAGTCTGTTCCTCTGCTGTTATGAACTTGCATGTTTTAGATTCTACATGTAAGTGAGATTATACAGTATTTGTCTTTCTCTGTTAAACTTATTTACTTAGCATAAGGCCATCAGGGTTTATCCATGTTGTTGCAAATGGCAGGATTTTCTTCTTTCTTGTGGCTAAATAATATTTCATTGTGTGTGTGTGGGGGTGTACCACATCTTCTTTATCCATTTACTTGTCGACAGGTTGTTTTTATATCTTGACTCTTATGAATGATACTGCAGTTAACATGGGAGTGCAGATATCCCTTTGAAATCTGTTTTTTATTTTCTTTGGATATATTACCCAAAAGCAGAATAGTAGAATTGCTGGATCGTATAATAGTTCTGTTTTTAATTTTTTTAAGATTTTATTTATTTATTTTTAGAGAGAGAGGAAGAGAGGGAAAGAGGGCAAGAAACTTCAGTGTGTGGTTGCCTCTCGTGTGTCCCCCAGTGGGGATCTGGCCAGCAACCCAGGCATGTACCCTGACTGGGAATTGAACCAGTGACCCTTTATTCACAGGCCAGTGCTCAGTCCCCTGAACCATACCAGCATGGGCTGTAATTTTGTGGGAACCTCCATACCGTTTTTCATAGTGGTCATACCAGTTTGCATTCCCACCAGCAGTACATAGGGATTCTCTTTTTCTTCTCACACTTACCTCTTGTCTTTTTGGTAATAACCATGCAAAAATGCGTGAGGTGATTTCTCATTGTGATTTGATTCACATTTCCCTGATAACTAATGATGTTGAGCATCTTTTCATGTACTTGTTGGTCATTTGTATGTCTTTGGAAAATTGGCTATTCAGTTCTATACTCATTTTTTAATTGTTTTTTGGGAGGTGGAGGTTATTAACTCATTATCAGATATATGGTTCGCAAATACTTTTTCCCATTATGTAGGTTACCCTTTCATATTGCTGATGGTTTCTTTTGCTGTGCAGAAGTCTGTTAGTTTAGTTTGCTGTTACTGCCTTTGCCTTTGGTGTCGAATCTAAAAACATCATTGCCAAGACTGATATGAAGGGCTGGCTCTTCTCTGTTTTTCTCTAAGAGTTTTATGGTTTCAGGCCTTAGGTTCAAGCCTTTAATCCAGTTTGAGTTGTTTGTGTATGGTACAAGGTAGGGATCCAGTTTCATTCTTTTGCATGTGTGTGTCCAGTTTTCCCAAAACCATTTATTGAAGAGATTATCCTTTCTCCATTGTATATCCTTGTCTCCTTCAATATACATTAATTGAGCATATATACCTGGGTTTATTTCTGAGTTCTCTATTCTCTGTTGCTTAACTTTTAAAAGAACTTTTCTTCCTTTTACCATTATAATTAACATGATACTGTTGCTGTGTTTTGTGGATTTAAGATTCTTTCTTTAGGCTAGATTCCCAGAAATGAAGCTTCTAGACAATTTATAAGGTGGGGTTATTTTCATATTCATGATGCATACTGGTTAATTTTTTTCCAAAAGACAATGCCAGTTTGAACAGCATTATATGATGTTTCTAAGACCTGTTACATCTGTAATACTTGGGGGTCTTATTTTTTATTTTTTAAAAAGATAACTGAAGAAAACTGACTAGTTTTGAAGAAAGTAAACTGAAGTTGATTTGGTATATTTTGGGTTGAAAGTGCAGTTTGCAAAGCCATGTGTGAATACTTAGCAAGCAGCTGAAAAATTAGGTATTGTAACAGGGTAGAGATAGGGGAATATCCATTAGAGAGGAGGTTTTGAAGGTTTTGGAGTTTATGTACTGTGACTCTAGAAATGCCCGGAAGAGAAAAATGTTGGTAAGATTTTTGGATGAATTTGTATTGCAGAAATCATGGAACTCAGAGAAGAGGGTTTGAGAAAAATAAAGATTTCTATTCACTGCTTCTCTCTCACACACACTTTCCATTTTGTGACGTGGAAGTATCTGAAGCTGAATGCAAGCTTTAGAAATTGTGGAAGAGGCCACTACAAAGTCTCGCTTAAGAATATGCTGCCATTGGTGTAGGCTGTTTTTTCCAGAAGTTGAGGGCGAAGATAAGGACTGGTATTAAGTTGAAATTTTATCAGATAAGGACATTACATATGACAATCCATTGAGTAAAATCAAGCAACTTCAGAATGAATGACTGGCACTGTGCTTCCCTGTAACCTTATTTTTATTATTTACTACAACTTCTAAAGTGTGTTTAATTTGAATCATTTCTGATCTTGAATTTGGAATTTAGGCCCTTCTCTCTTGGTGGGGTGCAGGGGGTGGTACTGCTGACTTGGGACCATTTTCTTTTTTTTACCAAAAAAGAAGGGGAGGTGCATTTTGTAATATTTTGGGTCGTTTAAATCTTAGGCACACGTTAAGTGTGCTATAAAGTTATAGCGCTATAAAGAGCTATAAAGTTCATTTCTAAAATGGTTTGTGGCCCTTAAAGTATATTTCATAGTAGTTTCTTCATTATCTGATTAGGCATTTCCTTGTGTGAGGATAACAAATGGATGGACCCCCTTCATAATTCTCATCTCCTATAGAGGTCCATTGCTTTTGAAAGTAGTATCTGCCTTTAATAGTTTGTTATTCCACTTTACATTCTTCTTATTTTTCTTTTATAACCACAGAGATACTTGCATTAAAGTACATGTTCACTATTATCTTGCTTTTTTTAAATGTAAGAAATACATCTTTAGATGTATATACTGTTTTTAAAATTATATTTCAGCAGTTAAGTTGGTAAATAGAAACATGTTATATCCATCATAAGAGTTAAAAAGAAATATTTGAGTACCATTTTATAAAAACAAATATAAAGTGTACAGTTCCACAGAAGGTGTTCCCAGTGTATCTTTCCAGGGTTTTTCTTTGCCATTCTCCTCTTCCCCACTTCTCATTTTTCACAAATTTGGTTACATGTATCTAATTCTGCCTTTGAGTCTTCCCACGATATTTCCTCTTACAGAATCATCGATATTCCTCTCCCACCTGTCAGTAGCAGTGCCATGTCCTTCCCCCTGTGAAACTCCCAGTCACACAGAAGCTGCTGATGCCCTTTTATGATACCCCAGCACTGGTTCCTAGGGATCTGTTGTACATGTCTTTATCTAGCCAGCTGTATTTATTTTCATCTTTTTCACATAACTGTGAGCTCCACTGTCTTATTTTCCTTAGCAATAAATAAAAAGCTTTATTCAAAGTGGTTGTTCATTAACTGAGCAAAAATATGTCCTTTGAGGATGCCCAATGTGGGTTTATCCAGGAGCAGACTTACATCCTTAGTTATTAAATTGTGGTAACGTAAAAGCTTGAAAGTAGGAAGGCCATTGTTTTCAAGTATTTTTCACATTATAGTTTTTTATCTCAGTCTTATTGCTGATAATGTATATGGTCAGTGTTGAAGAAATTCTTACCTTTCCAAAGGCAGAATGATGTTGAAGTATTGAGCATTGTAGGGCTATCATCTCTTAATGATAGTGGTGCTGTGTACTTGTCATTTTGGTCTTTTTTCATTTTTGGTCTTTACGTGTAAACCATAGGCAGCCAAGAGCACACCTATGTGCATGTGGTCCTTTTATCAGTACACATGTGTTAAAAATGCTATTCACTATGTATTAAATTTTCTTACTGTAAAAGCATTGCTTAGCTAAATGCTTGTGATAGAAGTTCAAACAATATAAATGTATAACAAAGCAGAAAGAAGAAATCGTCTTTACACTCTTAGTTCAGTTTGAGTATTTTTTTCATTCTTTTTTTCTATAAATTTTCATTTAGATAATAGATCTGAATTTTTTTAATGTAATTGTGGTATAGTGTGTGTGTGCACATGTGCAGAGTGACTTTTTTTCATTTAACCACAATAGTACGTGTTGATTGGTTTCCTTTTAACTTCTGTAGCTATACCCTGGATATACATGTTGGTAAAACAGAAAAACCTAGCACACATAGCCAGCAGGGTACTTCATGTCATCAGGGAGTAGCCTCCGAGGTGCTTAAGCAGGTTAATGCCCGACACAGGCTGGGATAGTTAGCACAGAACTTTACCACTGACTTGTACATGCAAATCCCTATTCTGTCTATTTTAAAAATGTTTAGTTCTTTCGAGGTAAAAAATATTTTCTTCCAATTGCCTGGCACATGGTTGGTACTCAGTAAATTTGTTAAATGAATGAATTAGCCAAAAGCCAATGAAAGTTAAGTTCTGGATTCAACAATACAAAGTTCTGGTAATGAATCTCTACCTGTGAAGATTGGCAGTTGCTGTCATAACTTAATATTCTTTTATTTCCTTCTGTTTTATATCTTTTCCCTGCCTCATTCCAGTAGCATTATCTATAAAAACTTTATTTGCTCATTTTAAGATGAATTATTCTTTTCTTTCCAGCATCCAGTGTTAGACGAACCAATAGCGGAAGCTGTCTGTATTATAGCAGATATGGATAAATGGACTGTGCAAGTGGCCAGTAGCCAGAGACGAGTGACAGACAATAAACTAGGAAAGGAAGTGTTGGTTTCCAGTCTTGTTTCCAATCTGCTTCATTCCACTCTTCAGCTTTATAAACATAACTTGTCTCCAAATTTTGTAAGTATGTGTGAGGTTTGAATTTGAGCGCTCTGATAGGTATCCAGAGTCTATTTTGAGTGTGCCTACATTGAACACTGCTGTTCACGTCATCATTGTTTTCCTCAAAGAAGGTGTTATCAGTTGCATATTTGTGTTCCTCTAAAATTCCTGTGTAGGATTTCTGACCGCCATTGGGATAGTATTTAGAATTGGGCCTATTGGAGCTAATTAGGGTTAATTAGGTCATGAAGATGGGGTCCTCATGATGGGATTGGTGACCTTATAAGAAGAAGTAGACAGAAATTACACTCTCTCCACCATGTGAGGACATAGGGAGAAGGCAGTTATCTGCCAGCCAGGAGAGAGTTCTCACTAGAATCTGACCACAGTAGCACCCTGGTCTCAGACTCCCAGCCTCCAGAGCTGTGAAAATATAATTTTGTGTTGTTTAAGCCACCAATTTGATGGTATTTTGTTATGGTGGTCCAAGCAGACTAAGAAAGAAGGGGATATGTATATGTATGTATAATATATTCTATGATTTCAGCAGCCAGAATTCATTGCCTGATGAGTATCGTGTAAGGGGTGGACATGCGATGTCCCTAAGCTTTGTGCAGAATGCCAGTGCATTCTGGGCCCTAATTGTCACATCGGGACTTTGGGTGATTGCTTTTTATAATACTGGTAACCTCTTACCGAAGGCACCATTTTGAATTTTCAAGGTTATTTTCTACTTAGGAGAACTATAATAGAGATTAATTAAAAACCTCTAGATCAACATGATAAAGGCCATATATGACAAACCCACAACTGACGTGATATTCAGATGGTGAAAGACTGAAGATTTACCCCTAAAATTTATCTTGTCCCTCTAAATGAGGGTCAAGATATGGATGCCCACTTTCACCACTTCTATTCAACATAGTCTTCATAAGTCCTTGCCCAAGCAGTTACACAAGAAACAGAAAAAAAAGGCATCAAAATTGGGAAGGAAGAAGTAAAATTATCTCTGTTTGCAGGTCACATGATCTTATATGTAGAAAACAGATTCTACAAAAAAACCTGATAGACCTGCTAAATGAGTTCAGCAAAGTCACAAGATAGAAAATCAGCCTGTAAAGATAGTTGCATTTCATAGCAATGAACAATCTGAAAAGGAAATGAAGAAAGCACATCAAAATTCTAAAATACTTAGGTACGAGTTTAGCTAAGGAGGCAAGAGGTGTGTACACTGAAAACTATAAAACATTGCTGAAAGAAATCAAAGACATAAATAAATGGAAAAATAGCTCGTGTTCAGGGATCGAAAGACTTAGTATTACAAAGATGACAGCACTCCCCAAAGTGATGTATGTTTCAAAGCAGTCCCTGTCAAAAATTCCAGTGACTTTTTTCATTAATCACATGGACCTATCCTAAATGTGTGTGGCATCTCAAGGGACCCTGAAGAAACAAAGCGATGTTGAAAAAGAAGAACAAAGTAGGAAAACACATACCTCCTGGTCGCAAAACCTACTACAAAGTAACAGTGAATCAAAACAGGGTGGGACTGGCATAAGGACAGACATACAGACCAACAGAATATAATAGCCTCCAAATAAACCCTCACATATATGGTTAACTAGTTCAAGACAAGGGATCCTTTTCAAAACACAAAGACAAAGGAGTCTTTTCAGTACGCATACTGAGAAAACTGGATATCCACATGCAAAAGAATAAAGTTGAATCCTTATACCATACACAAAAATGAACTCAAATCTAAACTTGAACAAACCTAAACTTAAGTGCTAAAAATATAAAACTGAAGAAAATGTGGGGGATAATCCTCAGTGATTTCTGGGATTTTACACCAAAAGCATAGGCAACAAAAGCAAAAAATAGACATATTGGACTTCATCAAATTAAAAACTTTTTTTATATCAAAGGATACTCATTGTCAACAAAGTAAAAAAAACAACCCACAGAATGAGAGAAGATATTTGTAAATCATATATCTGAGAAGAGATTGATATCCAGAACATACAGGGAACTCCAACTCAACAATAAGAAAGGAACAACTGAATAGCCATTTCCCTGAGAATATATACAAATGGCCAATAGGTACATGAAAAGATGTTCAACATTATTAGTTACTAGGAAAATGCAGATGAAAACCATGAGATACCATTTCACACTTATAAGGATGGCTAGGATTTAGAAAAATATTTATTGACCAGGATGGGAGAAATTGGATCTTGTACTTTGCCAGTGGAATGTAAAGTGGTACAGCTGCTATGCAGAAGAGTTTGGCAGTTTCTCAAAAAGTTTAACATTGTATTGTCATGTGATCCAGAAATTCTACTTCCAGGTTTTTACTCAAAACAGTTGCAACTAGGGACTTGTACAGTTGTGCCATAATGTTCATAGCAAAATTATTCACAATAGCCAAAAGTTGGAAAAACCTCATGTCCATCAATAAATGAATGGATAAGCAAGATATGGTGTAATACACAGAGTGGAATATTATTCAGCCATGAAAAGGAATGAAAATGCAATACATGCTTCAATGTGGATGACCCTGGAACATATTATGATAAGTGAAGTAAGCAAAACACAGAAGGACAAATACTGTATGATTCCACTTATATGAGGTATCTTGAACAGGCCAGTGTATAGAGACATAAACCAGATAGAGGTTATCAGGGGCTGAGGAGAAGGAGGGAATGAGGAATTACTGTATAATGGGTACAGAGTTTCTATTAGGGATAATGAAATAAAGTTCTATAAATGGATGTTGATGGTAGCACAACATTATAAATATACTTAACATCACTGAATTATATACTTAAAAAGAGGTACTATGGTAGATTGTATTTATATATATACATACGCATATGAATTTTATTAAAATATATATTCTGTATATATGCTGTTATATAATCTATGTATAAACTTTTTCTTTCACCTAAGGCATTTTCATTTTCAGCCCAAGTCAGTATTATGGGGGAAACATGCACCATAAAATAATAAATGTGCCCCCAAATTCATGTAGTTGTGTTTTCCTAATAAGAAAATGAGTTTTTGTTAGGCATTTTAATAGTTGATTTTCACTGGAAAGGAACACTCTGCAAGATTTTAGTATTTTAACACTTGCACATTCATGGTTTTTCCTCAAACATGTGTAGGGGTGTCCAACCTTTTGGCATCTCTGGGCCACACTGGAAAAAGAAGAAATGTCTAGGGCCACACATTAAATACATTGAGACACATAATCATAAAAAACATCTCCTAATGTTTTAAGTAAATTTGTGATTTTTTTTGTTGGGTCACATTTACAGCCATCGTGGGCTGCATGGGGCACGCAGGCTGTAGGTGGGACCCCCCTGACAGCATCAGTTCACGTGAAAAATCACCTGTGTTAGTAAGTTGAACGAGTTAATGGACAATAAATGGGTTAGGTTTTAATATTCCAGCTCGGAAATACCTCTCTTCTAGTAAAGACTACAGGTCATTCTCTGTGAGTTATTGCACACCTTTTTTCTTTTATTTTCTATAGAAGAATGCAGCCTATCCTGTGTAAATACACTTGAAATATATTAATTTATAAGTATTATATTTATCAAATTTGAAATAAACATTTTTTGAAATTTTGGAAATGGATAGTGGTGATAGTTGCACAACATTTTGAACGTACTTAATGCTTCTCAATTGTGCACTAAAAAATGGTTAATATGGTAAATTTTATATTGTGTGTGATTTACCACTTAAAAATAAAACTGTAAATTCAAAATCTTGGATATGAGCTAGAAAAAGGTTTACACTCATTTAGCTAAATTACTGGCTTTAAAAATGTGCTCAAAGTTGTAGTTTATTTTGGAATAACTAAATAGACTTGTCAGAAACATAATGCTATGGAAATTGCCATCACTTAGAATGGCACGGTTTCATTTTCTGACCTGGTTCTTGGTTCCCCCAACTGCAGTGTGTAATGCATCTTGAAGACCGATTACAGGAGTTGTACTTCAAGAGCAAAATGCTGTCAGAGTACCTGAGGGGGCAGATGCGTGTTCACGTCAAGGAGCTGGGAGTGGTTCTAGGGTATGTTCATGGTTTCTCTTCTGGTTTTGTTTTCACATTGCGCTGCCTTCTGTTCTCAGAATTGCCTTCTTTTAAGTGCCTTTCCCTGTTAGAAGCTAGACACTGTTCTCATTCGGGTTGCTCTGTACCGTGTAAGAGCAGATCCCTGTCTTACACTATCTGAAACTCATTGTCCCCTGTACTATTACAGTAAGTTGAGAATATAGTCAGATAAAAATGAATTACATCTAGCCCTGACTGGGTGGTTCAGCTGGTTGGAGCATTACCCCATACAACAGAAAAGTTGGGGTTTGATTCCCCACTCAGGACACATACCTAGGTTGTATGTTTGATCCCTGGTCGGGGTGTGTATGGGAGGCCACCAATCGATATGTGTCTGTCTCTCTGTCTCTCCCTCCCTCCACTCTTTCCCCACCTCTCTCCTTTCCATTCTCTGTAAAATCAATAAATATACCCTTGGGTAAGGATTAAAAAATGAATTTAAATTTTTTTAATGAAGTTTCTATAATTTTTTTAAAGATTATTTATTTATAGAGAGAGTAGGAGAAAGGGAGAGAAACATCAGTGTGTGTTTGCTTCTCACATGCCTCCTACAGAGGACCTGACCTGCAACCCAGGCATGCGCTCTGACTGGGAATCAAACTGGCTACCCTTTGGTTCTCAGGCTAGTGCTAAGTCCACTGAGTGACACTAACCAGGGTGATTTTTAATTTCTGCCTTAGGAAAATAAGCACTATTCATTTTTACTTAAAGATATGTTGAAAGCGCTTCCTCCCTGCTACCCATATGAGCTGATTAAAAACACTGGATGGTACTACATTATCTACATATTATTCATCCTTCTGCAGTTATTCTTAGGAAAAAGACAATTCTCTAAAATGCTAATTGAAAGAGGAACAGATAAATTGATGGGAGGTATGGTATAGCCCTTTTCTATGTGCTGTGAGCACTTAATGTCCCATGGCCACTGTGTTTGTATGTGGTGTATGTGTATATTATTTCACGAAATGCTAGTTGAGCAAATTACAACAATCTAGAACTTTTGTATAATTCAGTTTTTATGAAGGGAGAAAGAGCCAACAGCAGCAAATACCTAGTTTATGTCAGATACCAAATTAAATTCTTTCATTAATGTTATTTCTTACCATACAGATTGGAAATAGATGATTCCCTGTGCATAATGCCATTAATTTTTTAAAAATTAAAACTAGTTTTTTAAGTAATGTGAATTTAACTGGTTTATAGCAGTGGTATAAAATGAAAGGTTTTCCCTAACTTGCCACCTTCATCTAAACACTGTTAAAGGATTGTTTCTTCTGACAGAATTTTTTTTTTAAGATTTTATTTATTTATTTTCAGAGAGAGGGGAAGGGGAGAGGGAGAGAAACACCAGTGTGTGGTTGCCTCTTGAGTGCCCCCTACTGGGGACCTGGCCCACAACCCAGGCATGTGCCCTGACTGGAAATTGAACCAGTAACCTTTCTATTCTCAGGCTGGTGCTCAGTCCACTGAGCCACACCAGTCAGGGCCTGACAGAATTTTTTAATGTATACGATAAAAAAATAGAAATGGAGGCCCTGGCCAGGTAGCTCAGTTGGTTAGAGCATCATCCTGATATGCCAAGATTGTGAGTTCAGTCCCCAGTCCCGGCACATATAAAAATTGACCAGTGAATGCATAAATAAATGGAATGACAAATTGATGTCTGTCTCCCTCCTTTTCTCTGCCCCCTTCCTTTCTCCCTTTCCCTAAAATCAATAAATAAAAAAATAGAAATTGATTTATACTTAATTATTGGGCAGCTTGTCTTTTAATATTTCTTGAATGTTCATATGAACACATATTGATCTATCTAATTATTTTTGATCGCTATATAGCATTCCATTATATGGTGGGTTTTATATAACAATGAGTTTTCATTTAACATCTTTAATAGGGTCTGCAAATTTAAGTGAAACAACATATAATGAAACCAAGTATACCATGTGCTAATTGATATAAACAAGAATTAAGTTCCTTTGGCATCTCATTGATGTTATAATGAAATGATATTGAATGAAAGGACATTATTTGAGAACCCACTGTATTTTCTGGGTTTTGCTATTATAAACCAATGCTGGAATGAATATAAATTTTTGAAGTTAGTAGGATAAATTATTTGAAGTAGAATTTTTGGCTAAAGGGCATGTGTATTAACATTTTGAGATAGTGATAGTTATCTTGACCCAGGTAAAAACTTGAATAAATTCTCACAAATGGTGGGAAGCACACTGTTCCTACTGCTGGCTTTTACCAACTTTTTAGTCTTTTACAGGCTACTATCTGAAAAATGAAACCCGATTTTACTTTACTTATGTAGATTTATTTCTTCTCTAATCATGAATGAGTCTGCAAGAGTGAGTGTTGATTTATTTACTGGCCATTTTTCTTTTCCTGTAAATTATTTGTGATAGGATATGTTTTGAAGATGCTTCCATTATTTCTTCCCAATATGTCTTATTATGGAAACATTTGTATTCAAAACCACCTGGGTGTACACTATTATCCTGTTCTCTTACTATATTGTATTTTCTAGACAGTGTCCCTTGCATGGTCTATCAGCAAGTCAGCAAGATACTTTCCTTCATCCATGACTTTTCCACTGGGTTTCAGTTGCTTCCTTTTAAAAAAAAAATTGGTTCTGGTTTTCACTTACTGAAATATTTCCAACTGTCATTATCTTCAGCTCTTTTACCTTTTTCTTTTGACCAGGGTGGCCTATGTCCTTGATTGCTGAGGGATAGTAACTTCGCAGGTAGCAGTCATTTGGCCTGTAGGACTCCTGTCTTGAGGGTACTGAAAGCCTGATGGATTTTTTCTTCTTGATTTCAGGATTGAATCCAGTGACCTTCCTCTCCTGGCTGCTGTAGCAAGCACTCACTCTCCATATGTCGCGCAGATACTCCTGTAGGAATGTGAAGTAGAAGCCAAGGAAGCAGACACAACATACATATATGGCATTTTTTTCTCATTAGAGTCCCATCTGAATGAGTCAGTCACATGGGTATCTTGCATTGCAGTACATTTCGTGTGAACATTTGGCTTTTTCTTTTAGACTGGACTTTTTGGGTGGTAGTATATTTTTAACCAAATGAAAATAAAGCATCATAAATAATTTTGGGGGAAGCGTTTGAAAAAGCCAAAGTGTAACTTAGAAGTTTCTATAAAATGAGTAATATTGAGGAATTTTTTATGATCACTACAGTGTTGCCACAACTCTAAATAACAACAAATATCTCGTGATTAAATGGCTCAAATAGTCACTTTGTTTGTTTTAATTAATTCTTTATTTCTAAGATACATAGGTTTACAAACCTTGATTATTTTTTGTTTTGTCAATTAAAATAGCTAATTTCTAGATATTTCTTGATATTTTAAATAGGCCATTAATTATAAGAGAAGAATGAGTGTAAATCTGTGTTGTTATCTACCCAAGTGTACATATGTATCTAGTTTTTTAAAAAGAAGAGGTCAAAATACAAGATTGATAAACATGGCTTTTTAAAAATATATATATATTTTCAACTAGTATTAACTGTATATAATGTTGAAATGTTACTTTCTGGTGATTTTTCGGTTTCACACACCCTTAAATATTAATAAAGCCAATTGTTTTTTAAAGGGTGAGTAATATAGATCCCCAAATAAGAATACTACTTTATATTCTTTGTGTTCTTTATAAGTATAAGCTAATTCTCATAAATGTTAATATTAACCTATTTGCACCTAATTTAATAAATTAAAATTAGGATTAAAACTTGCATCAAAGCATTGGAAAAATAATATTTCTTCAATAGCGCTCAGGTAGCTGAGGCCCTTGCTTTTGGTATCAGCCATCCTTGAACCCACAGAAAATAAATATTTGTTTCATTGCTTAATAATATTCAGTTTACACTAATAGAACTCATTAACTCTTAAAATTATTCTCTTGAAATTCCCATCTTCCAAAAGCTAATATTCTTTTAAAGGTTTCCACTTTTCGGTTGTTGTTGTTCTGTATATATTGTAGAATGTTGCTTGTGAGAAAAGCTAATACGGAACCAAACTTTTGTAAGTAATGTAAATAGAGATGGGTAGGTAAAGTTTTCAATATGCTCTACTACCTCAGTTTACTTGAAAACTACATGATAGTTTATTCTTTACTTGTCTGGTCTAAGATACTTTAATTCTAGAAGTGAAGTTGGTTTCTGCTTTCATGGACTATTTTTATCATAATTATTTGATTAGTTAAAAAAACACCACTTGCTTATTCTGTTACTATATATATTTCCTGTATAATATATTCATTTTTGCTCTTTCAGTTTTCAGTAATTAAAGATTTCTTTGGTTTAACTCTTTGACCTTTAATTTGTAGCATTGGGTCACATTTTGCCTTGCTCTCTGTATTCAAGAACTCTCCAACCTAGACTAAGAAGAAATGGTGATTGTAATGGAATGTAACCTGAAATTGGTGTGCCTGCAATCAGTTTGGCCTCTGTGTCCTATCTGCTGGTCCCAGTTAGCACCAGTTTTCCATGGATGACTTGCTGCCAAAGAGTTTTTATGGGTATATTTTCTTTGGCTTAATATTCTTGTTCTGTTCATCAATGAAATTCTTCACTATTCTACTGTTTGGAATTCTATGAATCAATCTCTTTGGCAGAATTCAGAATATAGAAAAGTTCATATGTGCATCACTGTACATTATTTTTTATTGTAGTTCAGAATGATATGTAGCAGGTAAAGTCTGTTTTGCATGTTTTCTTTTCTAATTAATCATCAAACTATTCACAGTCCTATCTATTTGAAATCTCTAAGAAATTAGCATTTAGAAAATCTAGTCTTCAATAAATGGATGGCTCATGCTACCGTTATTCTTAAAACTAAGCTTTGCTCGGAGGGAAGGGGCCTGTAGTTTCTTATAGATTCATTAATCCTTATAGGATTCCTGAATTTCATAATTCCCAGCACTTCTGTAATTTCTACTGCCTTCATCATAATCATTTTTTTTTTATACAGAAAGCCCATGGAGTAAGCTGCTGCTGCTGCTTTTAAAGGGTGGTCACTATGATGAATGTGAAAAGCGTTTGGCCTATTCAAAATAAGTTTCTCAACTTTGTATGGTACAAACAGCTATGTGTTAAGTATTTTTAAAAACCGTTGGTTGCAATAGGAAATAAAAAAGGGATCTTTTACATTATAGATTTAAAACTAATTTTCCTTGTATATAAACTAATTGGCTTGATTTTAAATATTCCTGGTTTTTATTCATATATCTTAATTTTGAGTTTGAAACTGTTAAGTGCAATAAATTTACCAGCACAGATATAATTTTGTTCTAATTAGCATACACTGGGGTTGATCACTTAAACAAAAAGATTTCATGCAATGCCTATTTCTGGTAGCTGTCTTACGAGATTTCTGCTTTCTCTAAGTTATTTAGATGGTGAGATAAATGTACATACTGTTTCTTGTTCTGTATACATTTCTCAAATGTACACTTGTATTATAATAACCTCCCAATTCTAGGGGAAATTTGTGCAATAAATACACATGTCCGTTTGATGGGTGATGTTGGTCTTTCTTTCATGGGTTACTTAGATATAATAACATTGGCTCTGATTTGGGATTCTTTTTTCAAATGTGACACTTCTAGTAACATTATCTTGTTCATAATGTCTTTTTCTAATCCTAAATTTCTGTCTTGGTAATTTGGTAAAATTTGTTTTATAAGGTTGTTGTGAGAATGAAGTGAAATAATGAATGTCAAGGATTAATGCGTGGCACACCCCGAGTGCTTGATAATTTTTGGCTGCTGCTATTACTAGGTAATCTGTCCAGCCTCCTCTTCATGGCCCCCAGCTGTTGGGAGAATTTAGCCTACATTCTTATGCACGAAAATGTAATATAAAAATACTGGTATATTCTTACACTTAACCTAATTCTTAAAATAACAAACTGAAAAAAATTTAAAATGTTTTTATAAAAACAAACTGAAAATCTTTTAAAACCTACAGGAAACCATGTAAACATGTTATGAACATTGTATCCAAAACAAATTACTATTGACCTTACAAGTAAACAAAAATTGACCAGTTGATTTGGGCTCTAATCCTGGTTTGTTCACTGGTTTGCATGTGACTCTGAGCAAGTCTGTCCCCTTCATCTACATTGTGGGGAAGTCAGCTCTTCCATCAATCCTTAGTCTTGCTTTATAGCACTTACTCAGCCCTGAGCAGGCTGTTGGGAAGCTGCCTTAGTCAGGCTAGGTTGATGTGGGCAGAGATGCCAAGAGGCAGGGTTGGACCAGGGGCTTTTTGTAGTGCCTGTTTTCATATCATTTTACATGTATGACTTTTATATTTGACCAAAGAGTAAATGCACTATTTTACAGCAGGGAGAAAGTGTCAGATATTTGGGAGGTATCCATTAGATATTTCAGAGATTTATAATTGGTACCTATGTTTATTTGTGCTGTTTCCTCATAAATTTAAGAAATCTTGGGACTTCCGCCAAGATGGAGGCATAGGTGGTGACGCCTTGCTTTCTCAGACAACCAAGTTTAGAGTCAACTAAATATTAGCAACAGAAAACACAGCCAGAACACAGAAAATTGAACTTTTCGGAAGTCTGATAACAAATTCTTCAGCCTGGCCGGTAAGAGGGGCGGAACCAGCAGCTGGCGGAGCGGGGTAGCACAGGAAAACTCGGTCAGATGGACTCAGGCGCCTGGAACCCAGGCGCAGGGTTGCAACGGGTGGACCCAGCGAGCAACAGCAGGGAACCAGCGAGGGAGCAGGGCCGAGATTTGACTGTGGTCGCCCATTTATGTGCAGATAGACCAGCCAGGGAGTGGGCGGTTAGACGGGACCCAGCAGGCCCCAGCTGCTAGCGGCAGCAGAGATGGCCCCATTTCCCTGCTCTGACCCCGCCTCCACATATAGCGTCATAACCCAGAGACCTGAGTGGCCCTGCCCTGCTGAACCACCTAAGGCTCTGCTCCTCACCCAGCGGCATGAAACAGCAGAGGGTGGCGCCATTTCCCCCGCTCTGACCACGCCCCCACATACAGCATCACAAACCAGCGACCTGGGAGTCCAAGGCTTCACTCCTCAAACTTAATGGGCTCGAACAGACCAAAAATGGCTCAAGAAGATCTCAAAGCCCCAGAGCCTATAAATCTAAACGATGAAGCAATAGCAAAATTTTCAGACGCACAGTTTAAAACACTGGTGATCAGGATGCTTACAGATCTGGTTGATTATAGCCACAAATTAGAGAAACATATGAAGGCGAAACTAATTGAAATGAATGAAATTGTACAGGAAACCAATAGTGATGAAAAGGAAACTGGGACTCAAATCAATGGAGTGGGCCAGAAGAAAGCAAATAATGACCAAACAGAAAAGAGTGAAGAAGCAAGAATTCAAAAAAATGAGAGTCTTAGGAACCTCCAGGACATCTTTAAACACTCCAACATCTGAATTATAGGGGTACCAGAAGGGGGAAAGGCACAGCCACCAGTGGAAAACTTATTTGAACAAATAATAAAGGAGAAATTCCCCAATCTGGCAAAGGAAATAGACTTTCAGGAAATCCAGGAAGCTCTGAGAGTCCCAAAGAAGTTGGATCCAAGAAGGAACACACCAAAGCACATCATCATTATATTAGCCAAGATTAAAATGAAGGAGAGAATTCTAGAAGCAGCAAGAGATAAGGAGACAGTCACCTACAAAGGGGTTCCCATCAGACTGTCAGCAGATTTCTCAAAAGAAACCTTACAGGCAAGAAGGGGCTGGAAAGGTGTTCCAAGTCGTGAAATCCAAAGAACTTACAACCAAGACTACTCTATCCAGCAAAGCTTTCATTTAGAATGGAAGGACAGATAAAGTGCTTCTCAGATAACATCAAATTCAAGGAGTTCATCATCACCAAGCCCTTATTATATGAAATGTTAAAGGGACTTACCTAAGAAAAAGAAGTTAAAGAAACATGAACAGTGAAAGGACAACAAACTCACAGTTATTAACAACCACACCTAAAACGAAAGCAAACTAAAAGGACAGCTAGATCAGGAGTGGAAAAATAGAAATGAAGATCTCAAGGAGGGTTAGCAACAGGGGAGTGGGAGGAGGAGAAGGGGGGAGAAGGTACAGAAAGTAGCATAGATGGTAGATAGAAAATAGATGGGGGGACAAGAATAGCATGGGAAATATAGAATCTAAAGAACTTGAGACACATGGACATAAATTAAAGGGGGGGTAATGGTGGGGATGGGGGGTAAGGTGGAGGGGAATGAAGGGGGAATAGAACAACTGTAATGGCATAATCAATAAAATTAAAAAAAAAAAAAAGAAATCTTGTGACATTTCCGAGAAGCATAGAGGAATGATTTTTGCTAATGGGAAACTGAGATACAGAAAATTTATCTGAGGTAATCGTCTTTCCTATCTGGGTCCATTGTATCTCTCAGACCAGAATGGTTTCTATCTAGTCTGTGATGACGATTGTAAAAATATCTGGAATTTCTTCATGTGCCTTTGCCAGTGTGGAAGGTTGGGGTGGAATGGGGAGAGGGACCAAACCTGCACAGTAGGGGCTGGGGGATTGTAACTCCCAGTGGGAAGGATTTAGGCAGACATAAAGGGAGAGTCTGGAGAGTGTAGTGCTTCCCATCCATGTTTTGCAGTGCAGACTGTGGGCTTGTCCATGTTTGCTCTAGATGTAAGTAAGACTTGAGACTTCCCTAAAGAAAATACAGTCTAAAAGAGATTTTTAAAGAATATGTGAGAACTCCAGTGGGACTTTTAGTCTTCATCAGATTGCAGGCAGCTTGTCTGGGTTAACACTGATTAGACCTCCAATAAACCTATATTTACTCTTAGAATAGAATTAAGTTGAAAAGGCTTGAGCTTCCTTCCTTTCCATGTGACTGATTTTAACAAGGACAGCCCCAAACCTGTCTTTATATTTACCTCAGTGCTTAGATTAGGATTACTGATTTTAAAAAAGCAGTGTTACCTAAATTGTCTCAAGGGGAATAACTTCATTGAAATGTGTAAATATAAGGAAGATTCTGTTTCCTCAAGAAACTTGTGAAATATGAAACAAAAGACTCATGGATATGGAAAACTGTGGTGATTGTAGGTGAGAGGAGAGGTGGAAGAAGGTGTAAGGAGGATAAATGATAATGGAACATATACAATGAAAATAATAAACTTAAAAAGAAATTGTGAAGCCACTTGTATCACACATTTGGTCTGGCACTCAGAAGTCAGTATCCTTCACTGTTACAGGGGCTGGAATTCAGATGAGTCAGACTAGTGCAGAGCCTGAGTTAACATAGTTTTCACATGTGATTGACTCTTAGAAACACTGAGGTAGCTTTTGAAGAATATCAATTCGTAGACCCCCACCCTCAGAGATTCTGATTCATTGGTAAAAGCTGATCTGCATTTGGACCAGCAGATGCTTATTTTTCTACTAGTAGTGATTCAGTCTCCCAAAGTACTACAAATTTCAATTTATTTTCATTCCATGTGGTATTGAATCCAATGCTTTTTAAATCCATGTTTTTTTTTGGATAGTGGGTTTTGTTTTGTTTTTGCTGTTTTTCTGGAAAGATGGCTATATGATTGTGTGTTTTTAATGAGCATTCGGTTTTACATAATACAGTAGTTTACCCAGATATCTTGCTTTGCCATTGAAGAGCAATCAAGTGCTTATCTAACATCAAAATCCTTCTTTAAAAAGTCCTTAGATCCATTTGTTCATTCAGCAGATACTGATTGAGTCCCCGTTATGGGCTAGGCACAGGTCTGGAGGCCAGGCATGTACTACTAAATAGCATAAACTTCGTTTTATGTTATCTTGGAGGAGTTTACATATTTTCTACTGGTAGAGGAGGTGGGCAAGAAATATGTTCTGAGTTTGTGGTAAGTATAATGAAGAAAAATAAGGTATGGTAAGGACTTAAGCCACTTTAAAAAAAATACTTAACCGTGTTTTTATTTCACCAGAATTTAGTAAGTTACTTGCAGTCAGAGCCATCATTTTTTTCCTTTCAGATAAAAGTTAATGCTGGTGAATCCTGTCTTGGAGGATGCCTTTCCTCTGGGAATAGCTATTAGAGCCTTCACTGTCTCCTCACTTTTTTCAGCATATCAGAACATAATACAGTGTAAGATGGTAAAGGACAACTTAGATTTTGAAAATGTGCATAAATTTAAATATGTATAGTTACTATGGATATGTAACAGTTTTTACTGTTGCTGTCTTAGGATAAAGCCTAATAAAGTTATACTTGTATACTTCATTTTTGCTTGTGAAATATATACAGAAGAGTGAACAAATACACACCAATGTGGCCATCATTTATGTCAAGAAGTAAATTATGTTTCGTGACCAAGAATCTCCCTCTTCTACGTGTCCTATCCTGTCCTATCCTGATCAACATCCTCCCCTTCTGATTTTTATAACTACCAACCTGACTTTCTTGGTCATTGTCTCCTTGCTTCCTCTTTATAGTTTTACCTCTGTGTCTGCATCCCTAAGTGATGTACTTTAATTTTGCTTCTGTTTGAACTTTGTATGTGTGGTTATACTCCATTTTTTTTTCTCTCATGTTGAAGAATCATCCATGTGCTAGTAGCTGGTATTCCGTTGAATGGATGTACTACAATTTATCCATCCTGTTACTGATGAACATTTGGGTTATTTCCAGTTTTTGGCTAACATGAACAAAACATTTTTGTTCAACTTTTCTGGTGTACATGGGTATTCTTTTTATTTTTTTTTTAAGATTTTATTTCTGGAGAGGGGAAAGGAAGGAGAAAGGGAGGTTGCTTCTCCCACATTGCCCCCCCCCCCCCCCCCAGCCAGGGACTTGGCCAGCAACCCAGACATGTGGCCTGTCCTGGAATCAAACTGACCTTTCGGTTTGCAGGAAGTCGCCCAACACACTGAGCCAAAGTGAGCCACACTCAGAATATATCACAAAATGGACTTATTATCTCAGGGTAAATCAAGTTTCAGCTTTACTACTACTTTTGTCCAAAGGGGTTTCCCAATTTATACATAACTGGCAGTTCGCGAGAGTTGCTGTGGCTCCACATCTTTTTGAATACTTAGATGTATTTCCGAATAGTAACTAATGGAAAAAAATTGGCATTAAAAACTATCCAATTCTTCAGACTTAAAGATTGCTTTAGAGAAGTCACTTTCCAGAGGTAAAGTAACAAATAACAAGCGTTGTTGTGCAGGCAGCATCTTAAGTGCTTCAAGTGAAGCACATAATCTTCAGGCAATCCCAAAGCCATAGGTCCTTTACTATTCCCATCTTAGAGTTAAAAAAACTGAAGTTCAGGGGTATTAAATAACTTCACTAAAGTAACCAAAAATGGCCTTAAAGACAGAGATCCAGGTGTTTGTCCCTATTGTCCCACCTAACAGTCGTGCTTTATTTACTTACCCCTTTCGACTATTGATGTGCCTCTGGCAACTGAGCTGTGAAGAATTGGAAGGGATAACCTTTATGATCTTAGATCTTTGAGAGGGTATGTTGATGCACACACAGAAAACAATGAAAATGGGTCTTGCAATTTGTCATCTTCCACAATCATTTGCCTTCTAGAATGGCTGAGCCACAACTGCCCTAGTAAGGTTTCTGGCCAATTCTCAAAAAAGAAATGTGCTAAGATTATGTTGTAAACTTGATTTGAGCAAGCCTAACGACCAACGGAAAAAACCCTTAACGACCTCATTACCAGGTCTCAGAAATGGTACATGTTGCAGCTCGGACTCTCCTTTCCCTTTTGTTACCATGAAATATAATTTTAATTCTTACCATCTTATTAAAAAACTGAATAACATCATGATCATAAATCTGCGGTGAGTTATGATAACTGGTGTTTAAGATGTACCTGGATGTGGTACACAGCCCTCCGGGAGCTTAAAATTCAGTGGAAAGGACATGCCTATGGAGGGCTCCAAAGCAAGCGTGTAAGTAGTGCTGCCCTTCTGGGCGGTAATGAGATCGAGTGAGGACTGATCCAGAAGGATGGATTCTGGAATTATGTCAATGAGCTTATGCTGGAATCAGCCTCTGCAGGTGTATGGAGGCACCAGAGTGGTCTGTTTTTTTTTTTTTTTTTTTTTTTACCAATGGACCAGTTTCTTGGGAAACAGACTCAGCTCTACAATGTAGTGCAAAAGCAGTCACTCTCGAGTCCAGGCAGCAGCCCAAAGCCAGCAGCCCTGGCTGCCTAACGGTGGGACGAAGGGAGGGCTACCCTAGGCCCTGGTTCTGTGAACGCAGACTGGCTTTGCGAACCAGCGGTAATGGCTGGCGGCACGGAGACCGCCCATCGCTGCTAGGTCACGAAGCTGTGATTTCTCTGCTCTGACCTCAGGACGTCAGTCTTGGGCAGGGCATTAACTTCATGATGGAGCTCTTCTACAGGAGAATCGTTTTATCGGAAGACACTGGGAAGAGCCTGCCTGAACCTGCTTGCCAAATGGCGACTTCCCTTCCGCGATTTCTCCAAGGGCGGGGCGTTGGCCCGGGCTGGGCCACGCCCGGAGCTTCCGGATTTGGGTACAACCACCTCTCCACCTAAAACAACTTCGCCACAGTTTTGCCCCAACTTGCTATTTTTGCTCAGTCCCTCACGGCACCTTTCTGGGCTCTCCGCCGGAAGCTGGAGCCGCCGAAACCTCACCTCTGAAGCCGATCCAGTGAGGGGTTTAGGGGAGGTACAGCGAAGTTTTTAAATTTCACGAAGAGGGGTTGCCAGAGGCCTAACTGTACCTCCCCAGTTCTTACGTCAACGCGGAGACACGCCCTTGGGCGTTCGTTTGCGTGAGCACGCGGTGCTGCGCCTGCGCACTCGCGGCCCCCCCCCCCCGCCCCGGGCTGGCTTCTCTCTGGCCAGTCGCGCGTGGGCTGAGGCCCTGGGCGGGCGTTGCGAAGGGTTGTTTCCTTGAGTCCGGTACGCCGCGGGCCGGGGTTTCCTTCCGCGGGGACGAAGGGGTGCAGACCCCCAAACTAGGGTGAATGGCCTGTCGCAAGTGCTGCTAAGGGTAGGGTGGGGTGCACGGGGCCCGGGGTGCGACCATGAACTCGCCCGTGGACCCCGGCGCTAGGCAAGCGCTGAAGAAGAAGCCGCCGGAGCGGACCCCGGAGGTAAGGCGGGCCGACCGGGCATGTTTCCCGCTGTCCTTCGGGCGTTTACCCCTGTCCAGCTGAAATCTGCGGCAACTGTCCTCTTGCCGGAGTTTCACACCTGCTGCCAGAGTATCTGTTCTCTGTGTCCCCCGACCCCGGCCCCTTCTCGCGGGCGGGTGACGACCTCCTTTCCTGCTAGGGATGCCGCCTTTCTCTCACACCCGTCCTTGCCGGTGACTTCCCAGTGTTTTCGATAAGAAAGCACCATTTACTAAATCGTAGTTTTTCTCAGGGTAAAATGTGGGTCTTTGAGCGAGATTACCTGTAGGTAGGTAGAGTGAAAAGTGAAGTAGAAATTGTAAGTGAAGTGAAACAGCCATGTTATTAAGAACTTCTCTTACTTAAGGTCTCTGAAATACTGTACAAATGCTTAAAAAATAGAGTTTTCAAAATCGCTTGCAAACTTTGCATCCAGTCAGAGGATGAATTTTGGTGGAGGACGATGCTTAAAGATCAGCTCTGGAGGTACTTTTTCACACTGTCATTGGGAAATTTTACAGTATTTTGTCCTTGCATCCGAAACTTGCTGTATTGGGTTAGCAGTAATGGCATCAGCTTAAATGATTTTCATTTAACCTAAACTTTAGGTCCTAAAGGCTAACTTTCAGGTTCATAACTAAAACCTGTTAACGTTGTATGTCCTTTAGAATTCGAAGGGGTTTTTTTTTGGGGGGGGGGGCAGGTTTTTCTTGATTTGGAGAAGTTTCTATAATATTGTATGTTTCCTAAATCAGAAAGCAAAAACTAAAAACAGTGTGAATGGATTGCTGGAATGTCTTATATATAGTTGCAAGAAATGAAGTTAAAAGCTTTGATTAATTCTTCCTAAATCACATTTTAGTCTTTCAGATTAATAGGTTTTTGCATAGTAGGTCCTAGTAATCTTGGGCTGATCTTTTGTACCAACGTTATTAAAGCCCTAATTGTAGCCTTGATGGTTAAAACTTCATAGTTAGAGATCCTAATCTTTGCATGGAAACAGGCAAATACTGCCACTGTCCAGTGTCCTTTTTTAAGAACCTGCTTTTATACTCCCATGTGTTTTAATTTCCCTGTGATGATTCTTGAAGTAATTGTGAGCTAGTTGAAAGCGTTCACCTGCAACAGGTGAATCTTCCATAGTTTTTATATCATTAGAAAGTCATGCAAGGCTTGCAATGTTTAATGTTAGTTTTACTTTTAAATATTACTTATGATACACTCACATTGTAATGGGAACATCCTACCTCTTTTTTAATAGGAGAATTAACCTAGTTTGAAATTGCCTATTTTTGAGCCTCACACAATTTTCTAAACCGTTCACAATGTTGGCCATTGTGTGCCTCTGTAGAAGTTTTTTTTTTTTTTTTTTTTTTTTTACTGGAACAGCAGCATGGTTTAAGGGACTACTAAACAACTGCCTGCAGTACAGGGACTAGACATCTTGCTACGTAGTCTGTTAACTGCTTAATTCATTGGAAATACTTTTGAATGAGCATAGAATTTGGGGTATGACAGTCTGAATAAAGTGGTTACCTGAATCCTAGTGCTAATTTATATGTGATAAATAATTTGATGAACTTCTCAGAAGTTCATTTTTATTTTCACAAAATCCTTATTCATTTAGTGGACACTTAAGGGTCTAATATAAATACATTCATTCCACAGTTATTTATTGAATGCTTACCATTTTAAGGGGCTATTCTGTGGACTAGGATGTCTCAGTAAACAAAGCACATCTGCCCTAGTGGTGCTTACATTCTAATAGAAAGGGAAGGGGAGAAGGCAGATATATACAGTAAACAAGTTACATAATATGTCAGCTGATAATTGCTTTTAAAAAAAGGCAGAATAAAGGGATTGGAAGCAAGGGGCAAGGGCTGGGTTGCAGTTTAAGTAAGATGGTCAGTGTTCTGGTAGAGATGACTTTTAATTAAAGGCTTGCTGCATGTAGAGTTAGCCATGGGGCAGTGTGGGGAAAGAGCTTTCTAGGTAGAGAGAATAGTCATTGCAGAGGCCCCAAGATGAGAACATGTCTGGTGCACCGGGGGCATAGCAAGGAGCTCTGAGTGCAGAAGAGTGAACAAGGGTGAGAATAGTAAGAGGCGTATCGTGTAGGATTTTCTAAATCATTGTGAATTCTTTGACTTTTATTTTGAGTGAAAGAGGGAACTGCCGAAAGGTTTGAAGCAGAAACGAGATATTATCATACCTTTTAAAGAGACCCCTTGCTGGGTTGAGAAGAGACTATATGGGAACAGGGGTAGAAAGAAGCAGGGACATGAGCTGAGAGGCTGTCACATTAAAGCAGAAAGAGATGACTGTAGTGACTCAGATTAAAGTGGTAGTAATGCAGGTGGCAAGAAGTAGTCAATTGTGGAAGTATTTTGACGGTTTAGCCAATGTGATTTGCTCATGGGTTGGATATGCACTTTAAGGGAAAAAGAAAAATTAAGCATGGTTTCAAGGTTTTGGGCCTGAAATAACTGGAGTATTGGAATTACCATCAAAGGGAGTTTGAACTTCCATCAGATAGATGGCAAAAGCTGCAGAAGGAGTAGGTCTTGGTAGGGAAGATCAGAAATTCAGTTTTGAACATGTCATGTTTGAAATGTCTGTTAGAAGTCTTGAGGAAGGAGTTGCAAATACAAATTTGTATTTCTAGAGAGAAGGCTTGACTGAAGATAGACATTTTATATTCATTAGCTTATAGGTATTATTTAAAGTCCAGGAGTTTATAGGACTTTAAAGTTGTAGGACTTTTTTAAAGTCCATGAGGCCAGATGAAACTACCAAGGTAGTGAGTATATGTAGAAAACAGAAGAGGGCCGGGACATTGCCCTGAGGCACTTGATCATTACAGAGGGGAGAGAGCAGAAACCAGCAAAGAATGACCCTGGAAGTAAGTGGTGCAATAGAAGAAAAACGAGAGTGGTGTCCTGGAAGCCAAGCAAATCAAGTGTATGATGGAAGGGGATATCATTCATTCATTCATTCATTCATTCATTCATTCATTCATTCATTCAGCTTATTGTTCCTTGAATACCCACCATGTGCAGAGAACTCTGAAAAAAAATGCAAATAAGAATCAGTGTCTTAAAATCTTGTAATCAGATGTTTGTATCATATCATTAATGAGGAAAGAACTCTTCTGTTTGTTTCTAGGACAAAATGAATGGTCCCTTTATTTTGAACCATCTGTTGTCCTTATGTGAAACTGTCAACTCAAGCATAATCCTTGCGAGCCAGACACTGGGCATGGAAATGTGTTGTAAAGTATGCCATTTAGAGCTACGTTCTAACACAGTTTTTACTTTTCTGGCCATTTCTCCTACATTGTAGCTTCAGCCTCCACAGCACATTGCCTTTCTTGAGCTAGTTCTTTGATTTCCTTTTCCACTTTGCAAAGATTTTTTTTAGTGAACAATTTCAGACTTAAATACTCTGTGGGAAGCCTAGGGCTGTGAAACGACAAAAGCTGTTAAGGCATTTGTTTTCAAAATTGAGACCTTGAATTTCCCTGTTCCTCAACTCAGTGCTCAGCACTGTTCCTTCTCTACAACCTTTCTTCCTCAGAGTGAGTGCCTTATCTCTCTTGTGATTCAGTTCCCTTTCTGAGTGCTTAAAACCATGTTTTGCACATATTAAGTGATCAATAAATATATTAAAAGAAAATTTAGAATTAACTTTATAAACTACTTATATTAAAAAGATACTACTTTCTGTTCATTAGAACGGCTCATTTGGTACATCTGTGTAGTCTCGTTCAGCCACTTGGCTTCAGTTAATTTTTGTAGGCTGACACCTGGGACTAGATAGGCCCTCTCACCTCCCATCCCCGTTAATGTGCTTCACATCCATATCCCTAACTGCTAAATTGTCTCTGGATTCTTCAGTCACTAGTTCTAAATAGACCAGGGCTGTCAAACTCATTTTCGCCAGGGGCCGCATCAGTCTCCCAGTTGCCTTCAGAGGGCTGAATGTAATTTCAACTCCTTGACAGTTAAGGAGTAGTTACATTCATATAGCCTTAAAATTATTTTGGCCCTTTGAAGGCAACCTCTAGGCTGATGTGGCCCCTGGTGAAAATGAGTTTGACACCCCCAAAATAGAAGCCATTGTCATTCCTCTTCCTCAGTATTCTGTGACTGTCCAGGTTGCTCAGTCTAGAAATTTGGGTTTTTACTCTTGATTCCTCCTGCTGTCTTTCTCTCTATGTCCAACTGGCCACTAAACTTTGCTGATTTTATATCCTGAATCTCTACTACTTTTTTCCCAGCTCTTCTACCCTAGATCAGGCCCTTGTATCACTTTAACCCTGGATTTTTTGCTTGAGTAATTTATTGTCATTGCTAAAGTGACCTTTCCAATACTCATGTTCTGCTCTTGCTCAGATTTTAATTATTTCCCACTGCCTGATAGGTTAGCAATATAAGTTATCATATAAATTATTTTGGGGGAATAAAAGAGGTACTATTAATACTTGTGCCATTGATAGAATAACAGATTAAAAAGGGATTCTCTCAGGTAAAGTGACATGTATGCTTCCCTTGCCCAGATGATAACATTGTTATCTATTCATTTAACAAGTGATATGTCAGACAAAATAGAAGCCAAGGTTGTAGAAAGAGATTGGACATGGTCCCTGTTCCTCAGAAACTTAGGAGACAGACATAGAAACATCATTAAACTTTAAAGGTTATCAGTGACGAAGGTATGAATTGAGCACTTTGAAACTTCAGGTGGGGAAAGGAAAGTTTTCTTGGAAAAGCATTAAATTGGTTGGTAAATATCCTGAAGAGCTGAATGATACCCAGAGTGGAGGCCATTCCACGCAGGAAGCCACAGGAGCAAAGGCACTAATGTTGGCCAGCCAGGTCCGTTTGTAGAAAGAGAAGCCAGTGGGGCTGGTATCATCTCCAAAGGAACACAAACTGGTTTTTTGGATGGGGTAAGTGAAAAAAATCTTAGATATCCCG